GCCCAGCAGCCTCACTGTGGGTCCTGCGACTGCTGTTGGGATCATTTCTACCTCACTGTGGTGGCACAGCCCTGGGAGCCATGCATGCAACTCCCTCAGAAGACCAAAAATGACCCCAGCTGTGTTCCCAGCCCTCCCCCTGGGGAGGATGGGGACCTAGGCTGAATTTAGTGTTCTGCTGGGAACCACTTTGCCCAACACCTCAAAGCTACCTTATGAAGTAAGCATATTTAGAAGGTGAAGACTCAAAGCACAGAGAGGCGAAGTCTCTTGCTCGAAGTTACTCAGCTACTATGTCGGCAGGGCCTGAGCTTGAGCTCAGTCCCTTGTACCTGAGGCCAGTGGACCACTCAGTATGTGGGAGCATGATAGCATGCCACAGGTAGAGGGAGCAGTTCACAAAAATGTGTTTGTCGGGGCTGCTGAGACACAGTTCTGCAAACTGGGTGGTGTAGTTAAAACAATAGAAATGTATTGTCTCATTGCCCCAGAGGCTGGAGCTCAAGTCAAGGCATTGGCAAGGTGACTCCATCTGTCCTATGCCTCCTCCTGGCATCTGGTGGTGATTATCTTAGTCCTTGGTAATCTTTAGCTTGTGGACACCTGTGCCAGCCACTGGCTCTGGCTTCGTGTGGTTTTCTCCTGGGCGGGTTTCTGTGCTCTGATTTCCTACCTAAAGGCTCAGTCATGGGATCAGGCACATCCTGATCCAGTGTGACCTCACTAACAGACATCCACAAAGACCCCCTCTCCAGTGCAGGTTTGGGGTGAGGACTTGTCATACCCTGGGGACGCCACTGCCACCACAACAGGAGATTACTGGGGAGACCTGTGCTGAGTCACGGAAGGGCAAGCACTGTACAGACCAGGCCACTGGTCGTGTTGTCCCTGTGGGCAGTTGCTGGGGTCAGTGGCAGGGCTGTGCTGAAACGGAATGCCTCTTGGCCAGTGTCTGTGACAAATTCTCTGCTTTGGTCCTGCAGGTGGTTTCCATAAAAACATCTCTGTTACCCAGTTGTTTAAAAACTGGTGATGCAGAGGATCCCTGGCTGTGTTCTTTGGGGTACTGCAGCTCTCATCTATTTGCAGTACCTGCATGGGGAGGCTTTGCAGGGGTCTCAAAGGTTAGAAGGAGTGAGGTTTGACTCTGTGTGTGAGACGGTAACACAGATGTATGCACAGACACTTTCAGGGAAACTCCATAGGGACAGATGGACACACAGGACAGAGTTCTGCTTTTCCCTGGGACCCACATGCCCCTCCCTCACCTCCTTGGTCTTTGCTGTCTCATCTCCTTCCAGTGAGATTTCTTAGCTCCGTATCTATAGTGGTATCAGAGACACCCTCTCCCTCAACCCTTCTCAAGTGGATCTCTCTCTGTGGCACTCAGCTGTCACTCACCTGCATGGTCCTGCTTCGGGGCTGTTTCTGGCTCTCCTCACGGGCAGGTGAGCCCCAGTTGCATGAGCAGTGGTGCCACGCTACAGTGAATGCACAGGAGACACACATGCTGGACCTGGAGAGGAGGGTGCTGGATGGAGGCTGTGTGCTGGGATCCCTGGGTGAGGCCCTGTTCTTGCTCTGGACAGCAGCATGAAACCCTCTGATCAGCCAAGTCTTCTGACATTTTCTTGTGTTTGGAGTGGGGTCCACAGCAGGAGGGGATTCTGTGGGCCCCAGCTGTGAGGACCTCAGGAGTCCTGGGCAAGGCCTCCCAGGCCAGTGAAGTGTCAGTGGACGGAGGTTTCCCTGTCCTGAGCAGGGTCTCACTGGGAACCTGTCTGTCTGGTTTCAATAACTAGTGGACCGTCCTTGTTTTGGAGCAGTAGCAGAGGCGGTGCCCTGGGCATAGGGCCAGGCAGCACAGCCCGTAGGAACACTAGAAATTAGCACTGCTTATCTGGGCTTCATCTCTGCAGGCTGACTTTATTGAACTAGAAGCCAGGTTGGGGCTAGAGGCGTGGCAGGGCCAGCTGAAGTACCTTATTTTTTTTGTACCAAGGATCAAACTCATGACGTTGTGCTTGCCAGGCACACACTTATGCCACTGAGCTAAATCCCTGGCCCCAGTGTCTTCGTTTTTGTATATCACTCAGAACTCACAGTGTCAAGGTTCCAGGGAAGGACACACCCGGGTTCCAGTCTTGCCCTGCCTTGGTAGGCACGCCTCCTCTCGAGCTTGTGTTTGGAAAGTGGGGATAACAAAAGGTACAGACTTGGTGAGAAGGCCATAGGGGAAAAAGTCCCTGTCCCATGCTGGTGTAGAACAGGAGGCACCAGGCACTCATTTCCAGTGACAAAGCTATTGCACGAGGGACTGGCAGGTAGACATGAGTGTAAATAAACATGGATCTATTTTCTCTCAATTTTCAGTTCACTGAATTTTCTGACTTCCTTTTGGATGTCGGGAACCAGGCAATACACAGTGGCCCCTAGGAATTTGCTGGAGATAAAAGCTAGTTGTTTGTCCTTTACATGCCCAGTTCTCACCTGGAAAAGAGACTGAGCATATTACTTCAGAGTGTTTGTTCTCAGAACATAACCTTGCTGGGCATGGTGGCACACACCTGTGATCTCAGCACTCAGGAGGCTGAGGCAGTGAGTTTGAGGCCAGCCTGGGCTACAGAGTGGGTTCAAGGCTGGCCTGGACTACATAGCGAGATCCTGTCTCAAAAACAAACAAAACCATAACCTTACCCAGCACTGGGGATCCTGGCCCCCCTGACGTGACTGTCTTAGGCTGGGTGACCTAGAGGTGGCTGGAACAGTGTGGGAGCCTGTTCCGAGGCATCCTGCCCTGGTCCTCACTGATGAGGCCCTGCCTCTAGCTGGATGTGTGAAGTGGGTTGCTGGGTACCATATCAGCTGTGGGCACAGATAGGGTGGCCCTGACTGGTAGGATACAGTGTGGGGTGGGGCTACCCTAGCATGAGAGAGCAATGCAGAGCCCTAGAGGGACACCTGTCCTGGACCTCTCACTTGAGAGTGAAGCCCACCCTTGAATGCCTGGGGGACAAGGCCACGAGCAGTCTCTATGTTGCTCTGTGTGGGGCCAGGTTCTGACCTGTTCCATAGGTGAGGACAGAGAACATGAGTTCCTCAGCATGCGTGCATTGATCGTATCACATGTGCGTCAGGCAGGGGGCTGCAGCAGTGTGCAAAACACACTTCTCAGGGCCCGAGGCTGGTAGGCCCACCTGCCCAAGGTTTCTAGGTGGAGTCCCCGGAAAGGAAGGTACTTTCTGTTGTCACACAATGTGGTGAGGACTTGAAGGCCAAGCCCAGGGTTTTACCTGCCACTTTGCCAGTGGGCCATTCATCCTCTGGGGGGAGGAGGAGGAGGAAGAAGAAGAGGAGGGAAAGATGTCAGGGTTGCTGAACTCCTGGGCAGCTCAGGTGCTTGCCATTCTTATCCTGATCCTACACGGGTGGGGATCCCAAACAGAAAGACCCCATCAGGTGCTTGAGAGTGGCTTGCGGTTGGGATGCCTGGCAGGCACCCCAGGTCTGGCTGTGTTCTGTATCCTTTGCCCTCAGGTGAGCACTGCACCCCAGCTTATGGTCTGGGGGCTTATATACCTGCTGACCTAGTGCAAGCAGCCAGGCAGACTTGTTGCCTTAAACTAGCAGCTAGAGGTATGTCTTGCTTCTAAGACACTTGCCCTAAGCTGCTGCCACATGCCTGCCTGCCGGTCATTCGAAGAAGACAGCCCTTCCCCTTGTGTGTCCCACAATCAGTAAAGAAACCTTCCTCTAGAGCCCAGTGGTAGACTCTTCTGTCCTCACAGTGGTCGACTCTGTAGAAAAGAGGACGCCCGAGCCTAGTGAAGCTCAGCTAGCATGAAAGGGTAGGAAGGGCCAGGGAGGCCTAGGGTAGGTAGTCACAGGCAAGATACTGCTCCCCAGCCCCTCCAAGTTCCTGGCCCTCTCCTGGAGCAGGTCCTCTGCAGTCTGTCAGGCCCCCCAGGTGGCCCCGTGAGGGCACCCAGCAAAGCTGCTTGTGTAGAATTCCTGTTGCCCAAGGGGCTGGACTTATGCAGTCCAGCACACTTAGCCTCTTCTGGAATAAAAGCAAAAGCAAACACTCCTGTTGTGCCACATGATCTTTAAGTAGTGCTGTGAGGCGGGTGTGGCCACTGAACTCTTTTTCACAAGCACCACCAAAACTCTGGGCCACACTGGAGGGAAGGGGAGCCATTAAGCCAGGCATTTGCTGCATCTGGGATGGGCCCCTTGACTTCTCAGAGGTTCAGTTTTCCTGACATAGAGAAGGAACCCTCAGGGGTCAGGTGGGAGGTCACCCAAAGGCCCTGGTGATGTTCATTTTGGGGACCAGCTGAGTGGAAAATACATATACCATTCTTTTTCCATTGTGTGAGAGTGTGACAGGCCATCTCTCAAGGCCGTGCTGGTGGCTTGATCTCCCTCTCAGAGTTTTTTTGCTAGGCACCTGGCAGGGCCTGAGTCTTATACTGGGTGTCTCGAGATTAGCCATGGTTCTGACCCAGGAGCTCAGTTGGGGAGAAGAAACACTATGATGCTGTTTACTGGGTGATGGTGCCTCAGGGCCCTTGTGAGCCCAGAAACGGGTCTGAACCCAGACTGCAGGAGCACAGGAGGTATTTGGAACAAATATTATCTTAGATAAGAGATAGCTAGACTGAAAAGAATGAAGAGGGTTGAATGCAGTGACACACCTGTCATCCCAGCACTCAGGAGGCTAAGGCAGGAGGATTGCTGCAATAACTGAGGCCACCCTCGACTCCACAGTGAGTTTAGGACCAGCCTGAACTACATAGCAAGACCCTGTCTCAAAAAAACCCAAAAACAAACAAAAAAAAGGGATCAGGCAGGGGCCCTAGCACAGAAATATACAGTGGGAGGCAAATCAGTATTTCTTGACTAAATGAGAAATAAGGCCAAGGCCTGAGGGTCTGATCTGTTGCCTCCAGCCAGAATTGTGGGGCTCTGGGACCTCTGACCCTGTCTCATCCCTCCAGGTGCTGGGGCTGCTGGTGTGGGCCCTGATTGCTGATACCCCGTACCACCTGTACCCGGCCTACGGGTGGGTGATGTTCGTTGCTGTCTTTCTCTGGCTGGTGACAATCATCTTCTTCATCATCTACCTGTTTCAGCTGCACATGAAGCTGTACATGGTGCCCTGGCCATTGGTGGTGAGTGTGGTGGGGGGACTGAGGTGGCTCCAGGCTGACCTCTCTGGCCTCGGGAAGTAGCTGTGACGGGACCACTGTGACATTCCCCAGATGGGAAGTGACAGGTGGGGGTGCCACTTGCTTGCCCTCAGCTGGCCTGTGGAATAAGTGAAGTTACAGGTGGGTACCTGTTATCCCATTACTCAGGAGGTTAAGGCAGGAGGATCGCCTGTGGAGCGTGGAAGGGAGGGTTGATGGTACAGGGGTGTGGTTTGCTGAGAACCATGCTCAACTTTGTCAGGGCAGGGGGTGGTGCTGTTGGGTGGATTCACAAGAGGCCATATGGAATGTTGAACTTATTTCTCCTTTTCGAGAGTGGTCAGAATTTGAGTGGGTTGTGTGGGCAGTCAGAATTTGGCTGGACCCCACAAGGCAGCTGGAGGCTAGAGCCAGCCCTGCACAGGAAGGCCTCCCCTTGTTCCCTGCTGTGTCCTGCAGCTCAGGAGAGGACTCGAGGACTCCGAGTTTGCCCACAGGTGTCTCCTTGCCGGGCACAGGATTGAGAGAAGGGTAGAAAGTGCTCTGGCCAGACAGAGAAAGCTGCTGGGTTTTTTTCTCTGACCCGGAAAATCCCTGCAGCTGGGGTCCAGCCTTTCAGTGAGCAGAGAGGCACATGATTGTAAGACCAGCAAAGCTGGGACTAGGCAGCATTGTTTGTAATTCAATGACTTTTTAAGCAGAGGAAACGTGAGTCATCCTCAAGACAGAATGGGTTTGTTAGATCTTGACATCACTGCAGGAGCCAGGCAGGGTGTGCAGCAGTGGTTGGGCTTGAGGGGGGAGACCTGAAGGTGAGGAGCTGGCGGCCTGACTTCCAGGTCAGGGCTCCAGCCCCCTGCCCCATGTTCCTGGAGCCTCTAAGAAGGAAAAAGGTCCTGAGAAGCTGGAATCTCCTGCATCTTGGAGGCACAGATATGGGCTCCTGTGCAGCTGTTGGTGGAAGGGGGCTCCCATCCTCTAGGCCAATGTCGGGCGCGGTTTTTGTGCTTGGGACTTTGACAGGTGGGGAGGGAGGACTCAGCTGCAAGCACAGAAGGCTGGGTGGGATGGGCCCAGGCAACAGGTGAGTGAGGAGGGACAGGCGGGTTCTAGAAAACCCAACATGCACTGGTCCAGGGGGAGCGACATCTCCTCAGCTCCACCTGTTGCCTGTGGGACAGAGGCCCCTTGGTGCCAACCCTTGTTTTTGTTTTTTCTTTGCAGTGCTGGGGGTGAGGGGATGTAACCCAGGGCTCTGTGCATGCTAGGCAAGTATACTACCACTGAGCTACACCTCCAGCTCTCCAAGAATTTTCAATATGAAAATTTTATATGGAATTTTCAAATTCTTATATGAAATCTAATGTTGGCAGTTAAAAATAGCCATGGACAAAGCAGATGTTTGAGGGCCACCAGTTTGAAGAGTTAACTGGTTCTAGGGAACCCATGTGTGGGAGGGGCCTGGCTGCAAGATGAGGGCTCCCTCCTGCCAGTCTGCCTCAGCATCCTGCTAGCTGCATGTGGGACCTCTAAGGTCACGACCCTGGGATTGTAAGCTTAAAATGTAGCCCAAAGCACATAGATTCCTCCCCCTCGAGGCAGCAGGCCTCACCCCTACGACTAGCCACTGTGCCAGGGAGGACACACATGGTGTCCTTAGCCACACATGGAGGAGTGGCCCTTGTTTCTTTTGCTGGTACAGGCAAAGATAGGTTATGGCTGGGTGTAGTGGCACATGCTGGTAAATCCTAGTGACACAGGAGGCCGAGGCCAGGGGATTGCAGCTTCAAACCCAGTCTGGGCAATTCAGCAAGACTGTCTCCAGTGTGAGACTCCAGGTTTACTGCAAATAAAAGAGGTAAAACTAAAATAAAATGGTCACGGATGGCCAGTTGCCTTGTGAATTACCACTGCCTGGACCTGGTCACTTTAGGGTTTTCCGTCATCTCTCATCTGTAGCCTTGGTCCCTGCTTAGGTGGCCTCTGTGGGGACTGCTGCCTCGAGCCCTTTTTAATGGGAAAGACCCAACTGCTTCTGTCCCTCCCCCCGCCTACTGAAGGGTGCCATGGTTCCTCAAATTGTTAAAAGTCACCTTATGTTGCCTGTTCTCCCTGCCCACCAGTTCATGATCTTCAATGTCGCTGCCACTGTGCTCTACATCACTGCCTTCATCACCTGTGCTGCGGCAGTGAACCAGACATCCCTGAAGGGCTCCCGGCAGTACAACCAGCACTCGGCTGCCTCTGTGAGTAGGTCCCTTGGAGTATGCCAGGGTCCCTGACTCTGAACTCCCCAGTCCTCTTGGTCTGAGGCTAAGCACTGGGGACCTCCTGAGTGGTCACAAAATGATCTCTCTGGGTCTCTGTAGGTAACCTGATTGCTCTCAATCTTCCTAGCCCAGTAAAACCCGGAGGAGAACTGGGCATATGCCTATAATCCCAGCACTCTGGAGGCTGAGGCATGAGGATCACTGAGTTTGAGGCCAGTCTGCGCTACATAGTGAGTTCACGGCCAGCCTCAAATGCATAGTGAGACCCTGTCTCAAACAAAAGAAAACAAACCCAAAACCTGGAGGAGCTTAGGAATGATGTGTATAACCAATAGAAGTTGTACAACACTGCCACCTTAAAGTGTTAATAACTACAGACCCTACCCCTTTGAGAAGTACATATTACAAAAGCTTTGGGTTTAAAGAATGTCAAGGATTCACACACATTCCTTTGAAGCCCAAAATTGGGGCCCCTCTATCAAGTGACCAGTAAAGTGTCTTCAGTCCCTTGCATACCTGTCATGCTTTATTCTGCAAGGCCTTGCACACCATCCTCTTATAAGGGACATGCCCGGGGGCATGGGCACGCCCATGATAGGGGCAGTTCTTGGGTGACTTTAAACTCAGTGAATTTGGTCAGAGGACAAATTGAAACATGGAGCTTCTGAATGCAGATACAGATACAAAAGTACTGGTATGAACTGGTTCTGAAAAATTCCAGGGTGGCTTTTTTTGCAAAACTGGGGACCAAACCAGGCTCTTGCATGAGCTGGGCAAATGCCTACCACTGAGCTGCATCTTCAGCACTGAATGTCACTTTTTTTTTTTTTTTTTTTTTTTTTTTTTTTTGTCTTTTTGAGACAAGGTCTGGCTATGCAGTTCAGACTGGTCTTGGGCTCACTTTGTAGCCCAGTCTGGTAAGCTTCCAACGATCCTCCTGCCTCAGCCTCCCAAGTGCTGGGATTATAGGAGTGCACCACCAAGCCGGCTGAATGTCACTTTTTTTTTTAAAAATCAGTACTGGGGATCGAACTCATAACTGCCTGCTTGCAAGGCAGGTTCTTATGCCGGTGAGCTAAATCTCCAGCCCCTGAATGTCACCTTTTAAAAACGGAGTCCTTGCAAGGTATCTAAAGCAGGACCTACTCCATGGTACTCCTTTAACTGTCCAGTTTGATACTCTTGTTTGTCCATGGTGCCACCACCCACAGTGCCTATGTGGCTCTGTCACTCACTTGGACGGAATGTGGACATCCACAGCCCCACAGCAAGCAGCTGGCGCATGAGTAGGGAGGAGGTGCTGGAACAGCCCCTCATGGTTAATGGACGGGTGGTGCCCTGGGTTTTACTGCGAGGCTCACGAGGCTGTCCTTGCATCTGACCAATACTGTGTCCTATTGTGTCTGTTCTGACCGCGTTGGCACCCCTCCCAGTTCTTTGCCTGTCTGGTGATGATCGCCTACGGAGTGAGCACGTTCTTCAGCTTCCAGGCCTGGCGAGGAGTGGGGAGCAACGCTGCCACCAGTCAGGTGGCTGGTGGCTACGCTTAAAGCACCTGTGTCGTGGCCCACCCTGGGGCCGGAGCTGCTGCTGGGTCACAGTACAGGGGCCCGAAAGCCTGAGCCTGAGGCAGAGCCCTGCATGGAGTCAGCTCAGTGTGGCCACACCTGCTACCCCAGGTTGACGAAGGACACAGGCCTGAAGTGGCTGTGATGGCTGGCAAGGGCCAACAGTGGCAACCTCTTCCTCAGCCCCCTTTTCCAGAAGATGACGGGGAATGTGGGGCTTCAGAGGACTTCAGCATCCTCGGCTGGGTCCCACCCTTCTCACCAGCATAAATACACTAACAAAGACTCAGACCTGCAGCCCTGACTCACCCTAGTATGAGCCTAACAAGCCACCCAGATTCATCTCAGGCTTTGTTCCAGGAGAGCTGAGCAAGCACACAAACTGTCTTTTCTGATCCTCCCCTCCCCAGCCAACCTGTCACCTGGAGGGAGACATTTATAGGGAGACAGGATTTCAGACATCCTACTTACTTAACAAATCGGTTTTAAGCACCTTCTCACTGACGTCAGACTTCTCTGGGTCCCACTCCCTCAGCCAGTTCCTGATGTGTAATTTTCCTTTTGGGAAAAGCCAACATCAGTGTGACTGCTTCTCCCTTACTGCTGATTAGTCACATGGGACATGGAGGGAGGGAGTAGGACTTTGCCTGGTGAGCTGTTGGTTCGTTATGACTGTTTTTTTTTACAAAAATAAAATGGAAGAACTCATCTGGAAAAGATGTGGGGAGCCACAGTTGTTGAATTGTGTGAATTCTAGGAACTGCAGGATAAGACCGTGCAGAGTACTCATCACAAGGCAGCTCATGTTGGGTCACTCAGTGCCACCAGCCAGCTATGTCCTAAGGGAGGGGGAGGCCACCCAAACCTGCTGCCTGTTTTGCTGGAACATTCATGGGTTGTGTGCTTATGGCATAAGTTCAAAGCACCTCCTTTTATTCCTAAGTGTCCTAGGGCTGGGGATGTAGCTTAGTGGCACAACGCCTGCTTCGTATGCATGAGGCCCTGGGTTCAATCCCTAGCACTGCACTGCAAATAAATAAAAGTTGTTTCAGGATTAACAATATTTAGTTGCTCCTGCTTTATAGATAAGAGTAGGTGATCTATATGATAAAGGATCTATAAGGTACAGGATTTCAATAATGTCACCTGTCTCAAAAATTTGTGAAACTCAGAGATGACACAGCAGTAGCTACCACAATAAATTCTCAGAGCTGGAAAAAGACACCTGAGCTCTCCTAACCTTATTTTACTAACACCAGAGGGAAATATCCTCTAAACAGTAAGCCAAAGGTACTTCTGCATACCCCATGATTTTTTTAGAGGGGGTCGGGGAGACAGGGTCTTGCTGTCCAGTCTAGGCTAGCCTCAAACTCATGGCAGTCCTCCTGTCTCAGCCTCTTGGGTGCTTAAGAATATAGACATGCACCATTATGTGCAGTTCCATGGTCCTTTTTTAAACTGGCCACAATTAAAAGATAGGAGTCAGGGGCTGGGGATTTAGCTCAGTGGCATAAGCGCCTGCCTTGCAAGCAGGCAGTCGTGAGTTCGATCCCTGGTACCAATGAAAACGAAAAAGACAAAAAAAAAAAAAAAAAAAAAAGATAGGAGTCAAACAGCTGTGGATGACCCACTATGTTACTAATTGATGCAGATCACATGGAATAGCCATACCCCAGTTTATGTTTGCTGTCCTTGTATCGTATTAATGACATTTCTTTACTCTGAGGTTTCAATAATAAATTTTAGTCATTTCAGGATCATGCTGGAAAAGTCTGATTTTAAGGAAGAGCAGCCCAGTTTGAGGCTTAAGGGAAAGCAAAATCTTAGTCAAGCTAGAGCCCACCTGCGTTTCTGACACCTAACATGGCTTGTTTTAGGGTAGACAGTACAGACTACCACTCTTAACACCTACTTCCCAGAGGTGGAGGGGTCCTAAGCCACAGGAGAGTGCCACAGCCTTCTAGGTAGGACCCTAAAGTCACTCCCCCCACCAGGCCAGAGTCCCATCAGAGGAAGTACCGTAACATCCCAGTCTTAGTCAGCAGACAACAAAGAGATGAATTTCTAGTTTAGGAGAAATCTGCTGGGCATGGTGGCAAGTATCTGTAGTCCTAGCTATTTGGGAGCTGAGGTAGCAGGGTGGCAAGTTAGAGGGCAGCCAGGGCAACTTGGTAAGACCTTGTCTCAAAGCTACAATGGGGAGGGGATGTAGCTCAGTGCTTGTCTACCATGCATAGGGTCAATTCCCAGTACTGCAGGGGAAAAGAAAACCCAGCAAGCCTCCTTATAATATTAAACTTTCCAACAGGCTTTTTTTCTTTTGTTTTTTAAGATGGACTCCCTATCTAGTCCAGACTGGCCTCCACCAACTCACTACGTAGCCCAGGCTGGTCTTGAACGTGTGTGGTAGTCCTCTTGCCTCCACTTCCCAAATGCTGGGATTAGAGCCTGTTTTTCTATGTAGAAAGGGTAAAAGGATAATTTGCCTTTTTGTTGGTCTTTCTCTATTAGTTACTTGCTTATCAGTTACTTGTTACTTGCCTTTTCTCAACCAGGCAGGCTGACCAACAGCTCTTAACGCCTGCTTCCAATGTGTTGGCTGTGATGGGAGGTCCTGCTTACAAGGGAGCAGGAAGGAGCCAGCCCAGGAGAGGGGGCCAGACAAAGCTGCCTGTGAGTGCCTGGGGTTTAGAGGGACCAAAAGCAGCAATAGCTGTGATGGTGGCTACATTAAGACGCAGGGATGACTCAATTACAGTGCTGGTTTTTGTAAAACACCTCAAATTTTACTCATGGTACAAAAGTAAGCAACATATTAGTACAGAAAAACACAGCTTATAGCTTATTCTTTAAATCCAGAAGAGATGAGTGACATGAAATACAGATTCTCATTTTCACTATAAATGAAATCAAAAGTACACATTAGAATTGAACTGTTTTTTCTTGTTTGTAGACATGCGAATTGTTTCCAGGTCGGTGATAGTCTACCCAACAGTGTGTTAAGTCAGCGCTGACAGGTGACCAGTAGAGTGTCCACTGGCCAAGCTGGACAGGGGAGCACCATGTTGGCAGGAGAGGTATGGACAGGAAGAAGAAACTGCAGTCTCTACCTATCCCACCATACCCAACCAAGTGGCTGATACGGGAAGGATTTAAGCAAGCAGAAACTCATTTAACATGCTTCAACAGCAGGACAGCATGAGTTTACTACAACAGGATAGCTTTAGTCTACAGCACACACATCCACACCAGTGAAGAAAGCATTTTTGCCTTCACAGCACTGACAGCTACAGAGCACACAGCATATAATACTTTGATCTTTTAAGTGGGTGATCATGGAAGTTCCAAGATCATATCCACTAGGTTAGCCTGAGTATTCAACTATAAAAATATTTTCTTGAAAATAATGTTTAAAAAGAGACTTCTAGAAAGAGGGAGACTATATCAGGACCAGCAGAAGACGGTACAGATGTGAGAAAGGAGTAGATTTTCAATGGAGCTTTCAGGTAAAGGATATTTCTGTCACTTCAGCCAGCCAGGACAGGGGTCACAGGAGATTCTGAGATCTCAGGCTGGGTGACTGGCTCAGGTGAGTGACTCTGGATTAATACTCCCTAACAAAAGCCCCATTGAAGCTGAAAGACTGAAACTCTGACCCATGTTAAAAAAAAGAGCTGTGAATACACAAAAGGACTCATGCAAAGCCTGCAGGGACAGGGTTGGTGACTGGGCTCCTCCACACTGCTGACAGCCATATTGGTGTGCACGGTGGCGAAGCTGGGAGATGAAGCCTCACTCAGAAGCACCTGAGTAGGTGTCCACTGGGGAGGAGCACTGGGGTTACCGAATATAGGAAGGTGTTTGAAGAGAAATGGGGCTAGGAGGGTCAGGTTATGTTTCTGACCTGTAAATACTTAACACGAATGAAGGGCTGCAGAACAGTTAAGTCTTTCCCAGATGCACTCTTCTATTGTCATCAGCCGAAGTCTCTCTGAGACTATTTAGCTGGTGACATCCAGAATGATCCCATTCGTTACCTAGTGCCGCAGATTGTTCTGGGAAGCTGGCACAGGAGAGGATTTGCACAATGATGTCACCACTAAGCCACTGCTTAAATCCAGTCCCCGGCCTTCCTTTTCCTACACATAAAAAAGAAACAACTTAAAGATGCAAGGCCCAGAAAGAGGGCTTTCTGGTTCAGAACCCTGCCTCTGGGGTGGGGAAGGGGCAGCTTGCAGTGGCAGGGTGGGGAGGGCCACCAGGGAGGCAGCTTATTTTGCATTTCTGTACAACACTGGCTGTGGGCACTTAAAACTGGAAAACATTTACATTTCTTTTAAAGAGCTTGCAAGACAGACTCACCTCAGCTCTTTGGGATTGTCTTGATTATTTAGGGAACTGAACAGTGGCACTTGGCCCGCTTCCCCAAAGCATGAAAAAGCCTCTGCATGAATGGATCACCACCCCCCTACCCCATCTCAAAGGCTGCTGGAAGGACACTGGCCAGTTAGAGGGGCCCAGGAGGAAGGACAGGAGGTGGTTGTATTCACTTGGAATTTCTCAGTGGTTCAATGTGGCTAGATAAATGCGCACTTGTAACTTACTGCTCTGTAGTCCAGAAACATTTCTTTAAAAGCCAGAAAGTCTGTAAACGTGAGTAACATGTCAAAGATGTCACCAGCTACTTCATCTTTATGGTGCCTGTAAAGGAGAGTGTGGCAGCTACAGGAATAAGGGATAAGACAGACCCTTTCGGTGAATTCCAAAACATGTGGAGAGGGCCCCCACCCAGACCTAACCCAAGTCTCTCACTGGACAGTAAGGGAGGGTGTTTCTTCCTGTCTCAGGAAGGAGGGAGGTGAGAAAGACAGCCAAGCTGGACTCACTGTAATGTTGTAGTGAAGGCCGCCATGCTGAACCCTGGGATCCGCTCCAGCAGCTGCTCCTCAATGTACTTTTCCACTAGAGAAATCTGTAGCAGTGGCAAGGATTATAGCAGAGCCTTGTGTTATGGAAACAGGGCTCGTTTTTAGAAAGCCCGTCTACCAGCCCTTGGGAGGAATCTTTGAGGTCCTATTTTATGAATGGACTCTGTGCTAATCACTGGGTATGTTAGAAAGGACCATTACCCTGGTCCTGTCCTGGCTAAGTCTTGGACCTCCCTGGTGCCCAGAGGGGCATTTGCAGGTAGCTGTGCTATCACAGGATGACCACTCTAGCCTGAATGGAGGCCAAGAGCACAGGCTCCCCGTCTCCAGCCCAAGTCAGGGAGGCAATGAGCAGGGGTCCTCTTCCTGTGCAGATAGGATCTGTGCGCAGCACACTGGGAGGCAGTCATGGCTCATTTTTTGAGCCAGTTTCCTCCATGGTGCCTGCTTCTGTGGTGCTTTCTTTGGAAAGAAAGCACTAAAGATGCCTGACTTAAGACAGACGAGGTGACTCCAGGAGGCTGCAAGAGGCCTCAGGGTAGGGTGTAAGGACCTAAGGGTGAACAGTTGGGGTTTCTGGACCCCAATCTTATTTTTTCTTCTACCTAGTGAGTGGTCTTGGTCTCCTTCCTATTTACTTAACAACCATGTGTACTTTACTGGATTATGTAGAAGAAAGCATTGAAATAAAATGGGTTGTCAAAAACATACAATGCAAGGAATGGTGAACAGTACTGTAGCTGGAGGCAGGATTACAGTGAAGCCAAACTTCTTTTAAATAACAAGCTGCAAGCTTATCAAATATTGCTTGAAAGTCTTTTTGGGAAACAGCCGCAGGAATAAGACAGAGAAAAATGAACTACAACAAATTGTAATTAGAACTCCTGGCAATGCAGTGCTGGCATATTTTAAAATACATGTACATTTCAGCCTTGATTCTAAACTTTTTTTAAGTACTACTTTTCACTGAGCCCAGCCTTCTTTATTCTGAAACAGATCTTATTAAGTTGCCCAGGATGGGTTGGAACTTGAAATCCTCCTACCTCGGCCTCCCAGAGTACTGAGACAAAGGTATAAACCATGGGGTACATACTCTAAATTCAGTTTAAAGGACATTAATTTCCTGATAGGAGAAACAGAAATCTACTTACATATTCATTAAAAATGGGTGTGTAGGTGAGTTTATTCTCCTCTGTGTCTTCAAATTCCTGGTAGTACTTGTCCATGAAATTTCTCTGTAGTAACTGGAACTCATCATCTGAATACAATAGGGAAAATATATTCTCTTCACTGAAGGCTAAAAGCCATCCTGATTTTATGAGAAGACAAGTCATATGCCTGTCATCCCAACACCTTTGTAGCTGAGGCAGGAGAATCATCTGGGCTACAGAGTGAGTTCAAGGCCAGACTGAACTACATAGCAAAACCCTGTCTCAAAAAAACAAAGGATCCATAAATAGGAACGCAAAACCCAGGAACAGAGATCCAAATAAAGTTTGATATTTTGTTTTCTTGATGAACATGTATGCATATGGTTTTAATGGGGGGGGGGTTAGAGATAGGGTCTTGCTGTGTAGTTCAGGTTGGCCTTGGGCTCATTTTGTAGCCCACACTTGTCTTGAACTTACAACAGTTCTGCTACCCCAGCCTCCTGATTGCTGGCTTACAGGAGTGTGCCACTACACCTGGCTTAAACTGTTTTATAGCACAAAAATGTTAAAACATACATCCATCTAAAATCTGAGTGGAGCGGCCCATGACTATGTCACCAGTCCTGGAAAAGCTGAGGCAGAAAGAGTAAGAATTTGATGACACTCTGGGCAACATAAATTCAAAGCCTGCCTAGACTATATGGTTAGACTTTATGTCAACAATAATGACAACACAAAAACAAAACAACAACAGGAAAGAAAAACACTATCAAAAAAACAAAATCACTCTCACCTCATATGTGAAATAAAGTAGGTATTTCATGGAGTTTTGACAAGAGCTCCATAGTCTAAGTGCCTATTGTGGAGTAAGTCCCTCAGGCCCCCAAATCTACGTTGATTAATTGCTTTAAGTATTACAGAGCTGTTTCTAAGACAAATCTCAGCAAGGCTCACTTAATAGTAAGTACACTGTGCTACATTAAAATGTACAACTAACGTGGTATTTTCTCTCTTTTTACAAAGTGACCCTTCGAGTTGATTTCAATATCTTAAAAACAAGGGTCTAAGAGGTAAAGAGAGCACAGATTAGGTTGTGGCATGGAAACGTACCCATGATAATGTCCTCTAAGTATCCAACCACAGCATCAAATTCTGCATCAGAGGCAGAGGAGCTGAAAAATATGCCAGGATTAGATGCTGGTTCAAACAACAGTTAATTTTTAAAATTATGATTACTTTCCAACATGCACAAGGGGAAAAAAAAATACAAAGATGAACTGTCCGTTGACCAACTGTGACCTGCGAGTTAAATGTAATAGCCACACTTTGGCAAAGTCTGACAATGAATTACAAAACAAACTAAGGAGAGCTGAAGCTAGCGTGGGACATCTCCAGGGTCCTCGGCAGTTGTTTCGTGTGGGATGTACTCACAGCATCTTGGCTATCGCGCCAGCCCCATCTGCTGGTCGGAGCGAACCTGGTGGGGGCGAGCACCAGGCCAGAGATTTCATCAGGAACCGCTCGGGGAACAGGGCGGCAGGGGCGAAGGGTTCACTGACCCAGGCTTTGGTGACTCAAATCCGCCTGATTTTGCTGATGACTAAGGCTCAGGCCGGAGGGCCAGTGATAGAGGTGTTGATACACTGGTGACCTCCGCCCCGAAATTCTGTCCCCCAAGACCTGAACCCCGTGATCGTGGAGACAGGAACTGGAATGGAGCCTTGGCTGTCCTCCAACACGTCCCCCACCGCCCAGCACACCCGCTTTCCGGGGCCGCGGCCGAGGACTTGCCGTCACTCACAAGGACAGGGCCAAGTTCTCCTCCTCCAGGGCGTCCATCGTCGCAAAGCCGCATCTACCTGCGTGGACTCGCCAGCTGCTCGGCCTCTCACCACGCCCACTGCCCGGGCCCAGCCTCGGCTCTACTCCGCTGAGTCCCCACCCGCATCGAGGGCACGGCGGCCGGCCGGATTGGGGAGGCCTCGCCGCCGAGCCGGCTCAGCACAAAAGGCTGGGCTCAGGCGCCCTTGCCCAGCCAGGCCGCTCGGCTCGCGCCGCCCCAGCCACTGGCCCAGCAGTCGGTTACAGACCACCGCGCGCTGTGCCCGCCTCCATCACCATGGTTACCACGCCATTCACGGGCGCAGATTCCTACCAACCAATCACAGGCGGGCGGTACTGACGTCGGGGGCAGGGCAACGCAGGGAGCGGATTTCCGGGACTTGGAACGTTGCAGAGGAATGCTGGGCCTCAGCAAATACGCTGTGGACTGGGGAAGGTGTAGCGATTAAATCACACGTTGTCCTCATTTATGGATAAATGGAGCTTGTTTTCTTACTTACAACTTTGCACCTCGCAGTGTTTTGTAATTTATATAGTGGAAAGCAGGTTTTAAGAACACTAAATTGCCAAATTGTTGAATGCCAGTCTCCCCTCTTGAATCAGGTATTATGGAAACTTTGACTTGTGAAAAAGCTACACGCCCACTTACCACGATAGACAATTCCCCACCGCATGAACTGGCTGTCTTGTAATTTGCATTACAAACTTCACATCATGAAGATTATTAGGCAATAAATGGCTTCTTGGTTATTTGTGCAAGACAAAAGCTGACAGAGCCAGTTTGAGCAATCACAAATCTGTAACTGTTCCAGGAAAGGTCTCTTCCATGAAGATATCCTGGAGCTTATTTCTCTTGATAGGACCACTAAGCATTTTGTTGCATGGCCAGATGTGTGGTATTTGACTAGAGGGATGTCAGTATAAACTGAAGATCAGATGGCCAAACTGAGTTAATTAGCAGACATCTCTGAATGGAGATAAGATAGGTAGCTGTAGGATCTGGAACTAAAGATAATTACAAAAGACACAGTTCTGTGGGGTACAGCAATTCTCAAAGTACAAGGTGGAAGACAGGCATCAAAAAAGCTTTGCTGAGCCGGGCCTGGGGGCACTGGAGTAGTGACACAGGAGATAGGGTGTCCCAAAGCTGACTGAAGAAATAAGCAGGGCCTGTAAATTACAGGGTCCCAGGCAACTAGATAACTTAGGAACCTCTCCTGAACTCCTGAACGTATGCGACAGCTCAAGAAGTATGCTATTCTGACCTCCCAGGATATCCTGTCCTGGATCTCTGGCTAACTACCAGATAGCAGTAGGAGGATGGTAAGTTTGAGCCCAGCCTAGGAACTTTAGCAATTTAGTGAGACCTCATCTCAATTTTAAAAAATGGGCTAGGGATATAGCTCAGAGTGAAGGATTTCAGTTCAATCTCTAGTTCACCAAAACAGACTAAACATAAAAAATGCTTTGTTGAATTACTGAATTCTGTTCTATCAAGTAGGATTAGATAGCTCACAGCAAGCTCAGCAAAGAACACACTGCATTTATTTCTGGACTAAGTGAATTTGATCACCTTACTAAGTCATGGGATCAGAGTGGAGGAACAACAAAATTTGATTTCATGTTTTGCTTCATCTGGTATCTACTAATGTTACAAGCCAACTGAAAATTTAGTGGCTTAAAGCAAGTTATTCTGCTAACTAATCTGCAATTTGGGCAGGCGTGGCATGGACAATTAATCTCCCTTTCACTTGTCTACTAGGGCTTTTAAGGAGCTCACGTATGACCTGCAATTGTTGGCTCTTGTTGAGTTTCTCAGTTGCGGATGTTGGCACCAGGACTTGGGGGAGAGGTTGACTTTTTTTTTATCTCCATGTAAAGTCTGAAGATGTCTGAGTTTTCTTACTCCATGGTGGTTGGGGCCAAGAGCAAGTACTGTATTTCAAGAGATAGAAAGTAAAAGCTGCCTGGCACTTATGGTCAGACAGGCATAGAGATAATCCAGATTTATGGGAAGAGGACATAAATCTCATTTTTAGAAAAAATGTGGGGATTGAACCCAGGGCTTTGGCATGCTTGGTAAGCAGTCAACCACTGAGCTACAACCCCATCATCCAATTTTTTTTTTCTGGTACTGCGGGGTCTTTGCATAACCCTACCCCCTTTCAGCTTGCTCCCCCCCCCCCCCCCCGCTTTCCTTCTTTTTATTCTTTCTTTTTGAGAACAGGGCCCTGTATGCAGTTCAGGCAGGTCTTGAACTATGTAGCCTAGGCTGCCCTTGGATTTGGAGCTATCCTCCTGCCTCAGTCCCAAGTGCTAGGATTACAGGTGTATGCCATCATGCCTGGCCCTTTTTAGCTTCTGGGACAGGATCTTGCTAAACTGCCCACGCTGGGCTTCAACTTTCAAACCTCTTGCATCAGCTTCCCAGCCCCGGTTAAATGATGGGAGGAATGCCAAATAATTTAAAAATTCCACCATTCTTGCTTCTAAGAACAAAGGAAGAAAGAATAGGTGTTCACATATATTCAGGGATGTGCCAGAAACTATGCTCAGCATTTACAAATATAGTTTTTTTAAAAAGTTGAAACTGATAAAAAGCCAAACACAAAACTCCTGTAAGGTAACTATTATCTCCACTTTAATGAATGGGAAATGAAGGTTGAGACCATAGGTTCTCACTTTGAAGGGCCCACCATCACGTGATATAGCCCCTAATCCCTGGGTCATTAAGCATACTTTTGGAAATCAGAACTTTGGAAATCAGAATCTGTTAAGAACAGAATAGTCTTTTAAATTAAATAACCTTTTAAATTAAAAATTGACAAATACATTAAGTCATGCTTTCCCATTAATGATTTTTGAAATCTTTGGTGGATTAGCATTAAAATTTTTTTCTAAGTGAATAAATAGCTAAAGAACAACAGTTAATAATCTTGGAAAGACCTGATCTTACTTGGGAAGTTTGTTTTCATGTATACACATTCGAGACAGTTGAAATTATTGCAAAAGTCATTTTCTGCTGCTAAAATTGTTTTGGTTTCTGTGATTCAACCACTGTTTCCTGGCACTCTGCACTGGCACCATGATTTTCTCCTGCTTTATGTCATTCACAAAAGGTGGCGATTCCCTAAATTTTGTTTTGGCAGGAGCTCTGAATTTCCTGGATGAATCAGTGGAGAAATTCCTCTAATTTTTTGTTTTTCCTGCTGGTCACATCATATCAGGAGTAAGTTTTTAATACGTTAAAATGCTTACCTTTCATGCAGGATATGAATCTGTTTACTCTCTTCCATGAATGCTTACCAAGCCCTAATTTTTCTCTTCTATGTGGAATAAACATCTTTCCTTTGAAATGGCCTCCAAGATTACAACTTTGCTTCCATTTCTGTATGGTTTAATTTAATATTAAAATCTTTTTTTTTGCCTAGAACTTAACTGGAAAAGTAGACCAACTTAGGAACAAAGTTCAAGGGTACATTTCTAGAAAGCTGACAAGCTCCTGCATCACTCCTCTGACTACTGGCAGATTAGTAATTCCATTGATTTTTCTGTATTTCCACTGTTTACAGATCACTTTTACCTCTCAGATGGACTACTTCTGTTTCCTTATGATTTCCACTTTTTGTTTCTCTATCCTTACCTAATTCTTCCATTCCATTATTTTCCGAGCAGATGTCAGTCATTTTTTGTTTGTTTGTTTGTTTTTAAGTTTTGAAACCGGATCTTGTTACTTGGTTAGGCTGGTCCACATCTCAAATTCACTATGTATCCCAGACCTTGAACTCATGATCTTCCTGTTTCAGCTTCCCAAGTGCTGGTATGCACCATGATGCCTGGCCAGAGTCCTTTTTAAAAAGTATTTATCTAGGTACTTCAAGCTTCAGTTTTTATACTTTATACTATACTTAGGTTAAAACTGATAAGAACAGATACTACAGTTGAGCTTAGCCAAAAGGCCAAGAAGCGATTACTTAGGTTAAAACATAAAATCTTTAATGTGGCCTTCATGAGCACCCCTGATTGCACACTGGAACATGGTATCTCCTCACTTGTGTCCTGTCTTCTGAGCAGCAGGGCCTTTTATCAGACTCCAAAGCCTCCTCAGCTCTTTGCTTTAGTTAGGCCATTTGCTATAAATGCTGTGTTTACCTAGCTACCTAGCCCTAGAAGCAGGGCCTCAGCGCTTTTCCCTAGCTGTGTTCTGTTTTCCTTTTACCTTCACTGATGCTATTTCCTCAGGGTTCTTCTGCCTGGTCCCTTACCCCTGTACCAGCCAAACACTGAAACTCTTGTTTCCCTTCATTCTCTGTAAAACAATATTCTCTTCCTATTCTTAGGACTCTATTCTTTTCCTTCAGGCCACTGACAATTTATTACAGTAAACACAAATATAATGTCTTCTTTTTGCCACCACTCTGCAAACAGATGGCACATTAGGTGCTTAATAAAGATCTCCTGGACGAGTAAGACTGATTTTTGGGGTGGTGGTGGTGGTGAAGGGTCTCATTTCGATACTTCTTCCTTAGCCTCCCAAGTGTTGGGATTACAGGTGTGCACCACCACACCTAGTTTCCTAGTTTACTTTTGTTTTGTTTTTTGAGAAAGGGTCTGCTATGTAGTTCAGGCTGGCCTTGAATTTATGATAATTCTCCTGCTTCAACTTTCAGAGTGCTGGGATTACAGTGTACAACACCATACCCCGCTACTTCTTAATTCTTCTGCTTGATTCTCTCCTATCCTGAAAGTATTCCTTGAAATGAAAGTATATCTTAAAACTATAGCAGTTGGCACCAATGAACATTGTGAAATCTTAAGTCAAAAAAGGCAACAGATGATTTATTCTTCAATGCAAATTACTGTATTCACCACACGCTAAAGAGAACATATATCTCTATGTATATATATATAATTTATATATATATATATATATATATTTGGATTTATGGAAGACTAGAGACATGGAAAAAAATCCAGCACCCCAACAAGTACAGCCAGGAAGGAAATCAGCACTGTAATAGGACAGGTTTAATAGACTACAAACAAGAAAGGGTGGTAAAGGAAGAAAAAAATGTGCATTGAGTTTAAGACACTGTAAAACTCAGAAGACATATTTACTATTCAAGTATAAACTCAGTAAGGACTTGGCATAAATTGAAAGGCAGCTGCTGAGGTACACCATTATAAAATAAGTCTATGAATTTACAATTCTACCTTCCAATTTTCTGGGAGAAAAAACTGAACTCTTGAAGGTCTTCACCAGAGACCCTGAGAGGGATAAACACTTTTGATGAAGACATAGTCAACAATCCATGATTGAATTCAATATTCAAAAACATGTATTTATTTAAAACAATAGGAATACGTGTTTTCAGACTGTCCTCTAGAGTTTTTGAGACTATTAATTCGAGAGTTTCAAAGTATATTACTTCCAAAAACAATACTGTTTAAAAAAACTTTTAAACAAAAAACAAAAACCTGATTTGATGGTACTTTAAAAATACCCTAAATACCAGTCTAACATTGCAACTAATTTAAGAATCCCTCCTGCATTGGTAAAACATTTTTTTCCTCACAAAATGTGGGTACTGAAATTGGATAGAAACACCATGAATGTGAAAATACCACCAATTTTCTGCAGTTAAAAAAAACTAGAATGTTCTTTGGAATCACAGAAATATAAAAAAATTTGGGTTTTTTTCTACAGTCTATGCACCTTCTTTCAGGTTCTCCATGTTGCTTGTAGGATTGACCTGTATGAATCTAATTTTTAGATTCAAGTCTTACAGTGCAACATCCATGCTTAATACACCGGTGTCTCTCTGACCAGTGAGAAGTATGCTTAACCCAGAAACGCTGTCAATGACTTCTCCATAATGACTTCTCCCCAAAATAAAAACTTTAGACTATGACACAAAACATCCTGTGTTAAACGATCAAATGATGAACCCAGCATGGAGAATTCCGGTGTGGTTTCGGCACTCAGGAGGCCATTGTCTCCTACTGTTTTTCATGGAAATACCACAGACCTGGCTGCTAGCATTCAGCTTTCTTGGCCTTAAAGGAATTTCTCAGGGCTGGCAAGTTGGATTAGATTCTAAGAGTTTTGTCTCTGACAAACTATCATATTTTTAGCATAAAACCTGGCCATGGCTGTAAGTTTCAATGTGCGTACAACTGATTAGAGATTTTTTTTTCTTTGTTTTTCTTTTTGACATTGGCTGGAATTGAGTAGAATTAAGTCCATGATGCAACTTCACAGGTGTCATGAAATATGAGAAATCTGTCTGACTCTAGATACTATTTCTTTACGACACAATGGGCAGGTCTCCAGTTGCAAGGCACAATCCATGCACAGGTCACTGAGGAAAAAGACATAAATGCCAGTCAAGTTAATGCCTAAAAGGTAAACTCTACCTAACTACATGTAAAATGTTAAGAGGTTAAAGAAGCCGCTAATGAGGAAGGAAGCTTTAAAAGCAATTTGCCAGTTCATAAATAGCATTAAAACATTTTTATATTTTATAAAGTATTATAATATAATACTGAATTAAAAAAATAAAGCAAAAACATAGACCTTCTTTATCAAGCAACTTCTATTTGAGGTACTTCCTAGAAGACAGCTGGGAACTACTTGGCAAACTAAATTTCTCATTTTGTTCAATTTAGCTGCAGTGCACTTTGATGAACAGTTTAGAACTGATAACATTCTGAAAGCAATTCAAGAACAAGATGAAATGTTGCTTGATGTATAAAGATAAAACAATCACATAGATTTTCTTACCTGTGGCCACATGGCTTCAACTGTGTGTCTGCTACCTCATCACAACAAAGGGAGCAGCAGTTTTCTCGTATACTGACTTGTTTCAACAGAGCAAGACGCCTGTGCCTAAATAGACAAAGCAGTTTGAAATTCACACTGTCAACAAGAGGTCCTGTTAGCAGTGATGCATAAGAAACAGTTTCAAAATGCTCTGTTTATGGGTGGTACATTAATATGCTTTAAGCTTTGTTCAGTGAAGCTGTCAGATGTGGTAAACTGTTTTAATCTTAGGAGTGAAGAAGGCTATTCTAATTTTACAGATAAAAATGTTTAAAGAAATCTGCATAAGATCACACATGGTAAATAATCAAGGATCAAATTTAAATCCTTTGGTTCTAAATCCAGTGTTCTTTTCAACTTTTTAAATTGCATTATCTCTGAAAGTTTCATGAAAATATGGGATGTTTTTCTAAGAAAAATGTACATGGGGCTGGAGATTTAGCTCAGCGGCATAAGCAGCTGCCTTGCAAGCAGGCGGTCGTGAGTTCGATCCCCGGTACCGATAAAAAAATGAAAAAAAAATGCACACATAGAAGTTTTTATACAGTTTCAAGGAGTTATGACAGTTCACTATAGACGCCCTGTAAGTCCAGACGCTCGGGTTAGAGCCCTTCCCTTACACTTTGACCAGCATGGAACAGGAAAGCAGACAGCCAGAACTGCTCTGCTGAAGCTACAACCCTGATGGATGGACATAATGTGAAACATCTGCTCAATTTACATATGGCTTACTGTTTGCCAGGAACTATCCCAAGTCCTGGTGATTAGCAGTGCAGAGCAGTGCAGTGAAAATGTGTCCCTGCCTCCAGACAGCTTAAACTCCAATCAAGGGACACAAATTACAAGATAAATTTTAAAAAGGTACACAGAATGTTAAATGCTGATGAATACTATGAAAAACAGTAGTGTATATATGTGTGTACCATACAAGAGAGAGGAGAGGCAGTTACTGAGAGTGACACATTGTATGCCACTGTATGGTTCTTTTTCTTCTATGTATTTGAAGCTTTCCATAATAAGGTGAAAAAAAACAGTAAATGGAAGGAAAACTAGAGACTGAGAGAGAGTATATACAATATAAAACAATTTATAAACTCCCAGGTAGTATCACTACCATTCCAATGAGTAAAATGTCAGTAAAAACATACCACTGAACATAAATTTTTGGAATACAGGGTGAAAGTATTAATTAATTAGAAAGTATAATTAATTAGAAAATGGTTTTAAACATGTTTATATTTAAGGCTCCCATTTGTAACTGCTTTTTTTTTTTTTTTTTTTTTTTTTTTTTGTCTTTTTGAGACAGGATCTCGCTATGCAGTTCAGGCTGGCCGTGAGCTCACTTTGTAGCCCAGGATGCCAGGATGATCTTGAACTTGCAACAATCCTCTTGCCTCAGCCTCCCAAGTGCTGGGATTATGCAACTGCCTCTTAACTGGACTTTTTTTTTGTCTTTCCTTTTTATCGGCACCAGGGATCGAACTCATGACTACCTGCTTGCAAGGCAGGCACTTATGCTGCTGAGCTAAATCCCCAGCCCCCTTAACTGGACTTTTAAGAGGAGCAAGATACCAAAGATACCAGTGGTTAGCTTTACAATAGGTAGGCAATTCCTGTCTCAATGTCACTGCCAGGGAAAACAGTCTAGATACAACATAGGATTGACCTAGCTGGTAATAATTCTGCTGTTTTTATTCAAAACAGGACAAAACCAGGCTAGCGTGATTATGTGTATAAAAGGCAACCTTCCAAGAAATGGTACTTACTGTCATTTGAGTTAGGAAAACTTTCTTCTGCAGGCACAGTTAAGTGCTAAAGCAGTCTTGACTAAGGCCACTCTTTAGAGTAACTCCTATTTTTACAATTTACCTATTATTTACTTATTTGTGGCACTAGGAATTGAGCCCAGGGCCTTGCACAGATAAGCAAGTGCTCTACCTTTGAGCTATACCCCCATCCCTTTTTAAAATTTTGAGGTAGGGTATTGTTAAATCACTAAGTTGCCCAGGCTGGGCTTGAGCCTGTGATCTTTCTGCCCCAGCCTCCTTCATTGTTGGGTTACAGTTACAGACATATGCCACTGTACCCAGCTCAAGGCGATCTCAGATGGATCAGTTCTACCTTTTGAGACATCCAAGGAAAAGGCAGGCTAGATATTAAAGTAATGGAGTGTGACAGGTAAGAGAGGCACTGCCTTACACTTTCACCAAGAAGAAAGTTCAGAATTTCTGTTAGGCACAAGACAAACTGAACGGAAGTTGTAGGAAAACACCTCAGATCCCTGAGCTAGGATAAAAGTAGACCTTATATTCTTGGGATATTACCAAGTGTCTGCTGCTATAAATAATGCTCCTGCTTTAGCGCATCAACAAACTGTTGAGCCACTGAGACATGAAGTCTAAGGTGAAGCACAGCTCAGAGGGCTGCTTAGAACTGTACTTTTTTTGTCTTTTTCTTTTTTTTATTGGTACTGGGGATTGAACTCACGACTGTCTGCTTGCAAGGCAGGCGCTTATGCTGCTGAGCTAAATCTCCAGCCCCTAGAATTGTATTTTGAGCAAAAATAGGAGCCAGCACTCCATTATGTTATAGGTACCTTGGGTGCCATAATAGTCCAGCACTAGCTATGCCCTGGCCATTATGATTTCCTTGAAAATAGTGGCACTGTGTGGCATTAGTAACAGGAATACTCCACCTTGTACAGTCTCAGGCAGCTGCTCTGTTAAAAAAAATGATCAACTTTGGCCCATAGTGTATAACAAGCTTCAACTTGCAGTAATTACCAGGAAGCAGCTGGAGTCTTTCCCCAGCTGAAGGAATAGACTGTATTCAACTTGTAAGGAAGACAAGCAGGCATTCATCCAATGAGACAATTAATGCCAATCACAGTTTTTGGTAAAAAAGGCAGTGACCTTTTTATCCAAGATGACATTACTACTGTCCCAATACTTGTGGAACAGTATTGGTTTGGTATCTTTGCTAATGCAGCTAAACTCCCAAAAAAGTAGGTTTTAATAAACTCAAGTCCATTAATAGAGGCATTTGCTTTCCTGATACTTAGAATTTTTACACTAGCATTCAGGTGAAGTCAGTCTGCAGTATGTATGTGTATGTGCTATACTTTTTTTTGTTTTATATCAACATTATTTGCCCTCATAAGAATTTGGAAGCCAGGTGTGGTGGTGTACATCTGTAATCCCAGTACTCTGCTAATTTGTTTCATTTATACCACTAGTTTCTCTTAGTTTGTTAAATCCTCCCCCACTTTTTTTTTAATTGGTACCGGGGATTGAACTCACAACCGCCTGCTTGCAAGGCAGGTACTCATGCCGCTGAGCTAAATCCTCAGCGCCAATCCCAGTACTCTGGAAGGCTGAGGCAGGACTGGAATGTCTAGCCTGGGCAACTTAGTGATGTAGCACGATCCTTTCTCAAAATAAAAAATAATGAGTTGAGGATATAGCTCAGTGCAAAAGTCCCTGGATTCAAGCACCAGTACTTCGGAGCAAAAAGAATTTGAACATGTTCCTTCTTTCTGTAACATTTTAAATAAAAACAAAGTTCTCTGATATCTAAAAATTTGACAGATATCTCCTGTAACGCCACCTGGATCTGGTGCTTTTTGAAAACATCATTCTTAAAAATTTTCAGTTAATGTTACAATAGTAATTGGTTTTTAGTTGGGTATATTATGGGAGGCTTGGGCAAGGGGAATTGTAAATTCCAGCCCAGCCTGGGCAACTTAGTAAGATTCTACTTCATGATAAGAAATTTTAAAAATACGCTGGAGACACAGCTCAGTGCAAAGGCCATGGGTTCAATCTTCAGTACATGGTTGGGAAAAAAGGTTTGTACATATTCCTCTGGGTTTGTTTTAGTAACTTATAATTCCCAGGAATCCTTTTTTAGTGAATTTTTCAAAATTATTTATTCAAAGTTGAAATAAGTATCTCAATTATTCACATTTTCAGGAGATGCATGTGGCATCGTGAGATAGCCTGGGCAGATTCCTTACCTTGGCAAAATGATTTTTTCTTCAGCTGTTAGGAAGGCATAGTCATTAAAAGTGCTAAATTTCATAGATGGTGGGTATTTGAATGGTTTTGCTCCAAAATTAAACTCACATTGTTGATATGACATAAAACTAGCTGCAGCAAAAAATCCAGATCTACAAATAAAAATGAGTTGGAGGTCAACAGAATTAATAAAAACAAAGCAATGCTCATTTTTACGCTAGTTTTTGGAAAGTCAAAGTGAGCTAGTTATACCCTGATAGAAAGGAAGGTAGGCAGATTCTGTTTACTAACCTAGACAGATCTGCGAACCAGAGAATATTCTGCTTTTATCTTCCTATAGCAAATGTTGGGAGAGTTTAAGGTCTAGTCAAATAGGTCCCAAATTACTTGAAATAAATAAACTTCCCACCATAATTGCCTACATTAGTGGAGAAAGCCTCCTCCCCTCTCCTCTGGGGAAAATCTGACCATCCAAATTTTCAACTAAGAGAAGCTACTTACACAGTAGATGAAAAGACTTGTTTCTCAGGAGGCAGCTGGTTACCATTTAAAAAGAAGATCATTTGCTTTTCATTCAAATCTAACAGAAATCCTACTGTGTCTCCTAGTGGATAAAGTGAAACATTGTTAGGATAATGCTGTACACTACCAGGATTCTGAAAGCGTCTCAGTGGTGCTGTATTAAATTTGGATCTTTAGCCCATAATTCTACATGTCCATCTTTGTTTCTTCCACAAACAGTTTGACCACTTCTTACCAATATTTTCATGTACCATTAAGAAAAATATGCTGCAAACCAAATAAATCAATAATTGTAAGATGCATCCCATTATCAAAGATGCTAACATGTGGAAAACATGTGCATGTTGTTGGGATCAATGAAATATGGCAAGACAAAATCATGTGCCTCTTTGCCTCTCTGGAGCTATATAAAACTCCCTGGATAAAACTTGTTTAAAAAATTCATCCTCTTTTCTCAAATAAAACAGAACTATGAGATTTCCACATTTTGTTTTTTTTAAATTGCACCAAGATAGGTAAGAACAATGAACATTCAATGCTGCCAGAAATCTGGCAAAACCTAGCAAAAGCCTTGAAATTGTGCATCTCCATTGCTAGACAAGTTTCATCTCTAAGGATTTATCTAGAGAAAATGCAGAATGGTTTATAATAATTGTAAAAGGCAAATATGTCAATGTCCAAAGATGAGACATTAATTAGTATTATTGTTACAAGTATATAGTACAATATTCAGAAGACATAAAAAGTAGTATTATTGTTTAATAACCTGGAAAATTGTTAAAGTACTAAGCATAGCAACAGATATATATGTCTTCCAGATTTAACTTTTTTTTTTTTTTGAGACAGGATCTCGCTGTGCAGTTCAGGCTGGCCTTGAGCTCACTTTGTAGCCTCGGCTGGTCTCGAACTCACAAGGATCCTCCTCCCTCAGCCTCCTGAGTGCTGGGATTACAGGCATGAGCCACCATGAACAGCTCAGATTTAACTTTTTTTATTTAATTGTTTTTTAAAATCTCTGGCAAACACAGTGGCATGTGCCTATAATAATCTCAGCCACTTGGGGAGAGCCCAACTGGACAATTAGCAAGACTGTGCCTAAAAAAGGTTGACGCAGGGAGGCTGAAGCTGTAACTCAGTGCAGAGAACTTCCTGACATGTAATGAGGCCTAGGTTGAATTTCAAGTACTAGAGGAAAACAAAAAACAAAACCCAATTCTGGATAAAGAATTGTAGGGAGTTTAAAAGTTTATTCATTTTATTTTATAATTTTTTTCAAACTTTTATAATAAACATATTCAGAAGTTTTTATTTTAACAATGAGGCAGTTTTTAAAATAGTGCCCAGATCTTATTCTCTTTGAAATGGATAAGTTTCATGTTTCTTTAAGAACCTGCAAACCACTAAAATGAGTGCTCCTCTTGGCTTTTCAGTTGTTGTTTTTTTTTTTTTCCCACATTATCAGTTTAGTCAAGTGAAGCTATCTTTTGATGGGAATGGTCAAATTCCTGCTCCCTTAAATGTGCCTGAACTTTTGATTTGCACCCATAATGTTGATTATGGTAGGAAAATGAGAGGAACATATGGGGAAGGAGCAGGGTTATAGTCTCAATCTAGCTTCAGTACTGAGACTATTAATCTTTTCAGAGGTTCCACTCTCTGCTATTTGACCCAACGTCTTCAGGGCATGGTGCTGGACTAATAACAATTCCACTGCCATGTTGGCTGGGAAAATATCCTCATTTTACTGCACTACAATTCCTGTCTCCTTGATATCTACATGACTGCTTTGCTTCAAAGCACAGACCCAAAGGAGAAATTCAAATTCATACTAAGCCAATCTCTCTCTCTCTTTTTGCAGTATTGGGGATACAACCTAGATCCTAGTGCATGCTAGCCAAGTGTCCTACCACTAAGCTACCATCTTCAGCCCTGATACTGATCTTAGGAGTACCATTTGCCTATTGGTCTAAGAATTTTATATTCTGAAATGTTTTTGCTATAGGAAGGCTCCAACTGAGGTGAATTTATCAGGGAAGCCATTCACATCCATGGCAGTGATACAAAGGCTGATACCCTGGTTCTCATTTAGTCATCTTCTATTGAGGACATTTTAAGGCTTAACTGCCTAGTCAGATGTCTGAACTCAGGCAATGCATACAATGTAAAAGAATGAATACCTTCTTTCCAGCATGGGTGTACATGAGGCTTACTTCTGGCATTGTACCAAATCAGCTGCCGGCAGCCATCATATGCGCAGGAGTATTCATCATCCCCAATGCCATAGCCTTCCTGGAGAAAGACAAGGCCCAGAAGATTAGCAAGGCTCTACCTAGGGGGAGAGAGTGTCTTTTATAACCGCTAACCTATTAGTTGGAATTCTTTTTTTTAGTTTTTTAAGACAAGGTCTCACTGTTGTCCAGGCAAACTCACAGTGATTGTTTGCCTCGGACTCCCAAGTGCTGGGCCCACAGGCATGCACTATCATGCCCAGCAGTAGTTGGAATTGTAAATTTTCTGGCTGGAAGGAAAAGCCTATTTTGGAAGACAACAAAATCATGACCTAGCGCCATTGTGTTCTCTCTTACATGGTGGCTTGCCTTAATGTGGTACAGTGTACTTCTTTTTCTACTTTTACTTGACCTAGATTTGCTTTGCAGAGAGCATGCTTCTTTTCTTACCTTTAATAAACTTTGCTACCATGAAAACAACCAAAACAACCAACCAAAATTATGGTCGAGAAGCTTGAATCCAGGTAAATGGCTGGATAACTTCACCAACCAGTTCTTGCTGAATGCTTCCTCTGTTCCAGGCACTTTTAAAACCTGTTAGTTCCTTTAATTCCCACTAATGATTAAGAAGCTGGTAGCATGATACTGAATTTTAACAGAAATCAAAAGTTCAGAGAGGTCAAACAGAGAGGTTCAAACAGAAGTAGAGCCAAATTCAAACCTAAATTCTTATAATTTTAAATCAATACATTTTCTTTTTCTTTTTTTGGTACCAGGGTTTGAACTCATAACTTCACACTTGCCAGGCAGGTGCTTATGCCACTGTGCTAAATCTCCAGCCATCAATACATTTTCTACCTCACTGTAGTCAGGCAAACACCTTTTCTTTATGTTGTAGACTTCAAACTGCCCAAATGCTCAAAGTTTCATGAGGAAGGTTACAGAAAACAATCAGCTAAAAGCTATTCCTAGATCCACTGAACTTGAGTATCACACAGGTCTGTGACAATTTTTTTTTTTTATTACTTACTGCCTGCCTTTCATTATTTCCTAGAACTATTAACATAAAAGAGTAGATAGAATCTTAAGAAATTATTTTCAGGGCCTACAAAAAAAAAAAAAGAGAGAGAAGAGAAGAGAAATAGAGGAAACACACAAATCAAAGAACTGCTATCTTTAAGGATGAATGGTGACACGCTTTAGTGGAGAAAGAGATCCAAATAAGACAAGTCTTGATGGCTTGCTCATTCAATGGGATGAACAATGAAGTAATATTATAAACTACAAAAAAAAAAAAAGTTCCAAAACACATATACACATTGTATAATATTTAAATTAGGTTGAAAACATCTGCCTCCTCAGACATGTATATTTTTTTCCCCTGGTACCAGGAATTGAACTCAGGACCTCACACTTGCCAGGCACTGTGCCACTGAGCTATATGCTTGGCCCAAACATGTATTTTTTGATGGTGAGAACTTTCAAAAATTTTTTCTTGTAGCATTTTTTTTTTTTTTTAAACAGGGTCTTACTTTGTAGTCTAGGCTTCCAGGCTACCCTTGAACTCATGGCAATCCTGCCTCAACCTCCCAAATGCTAGGATTCCAGGCATGTGCCACCACATCCAGCAACCACAGCTTTCTGAAATGTATAGTACCACAAAAAAGAGAAATGTATAGTAATTATGATTTATTCTTCTATAAATAGAAATATAATACACTCCCAAACTCTTAAAAGAGTTAGACATGAATATGTGAACAATGTTTTAGCTTTTTTTTTTTTTTTTTTTGGTTCTGGGGATTGAACCCAGGCCTCATGTGTGTAATTATATCCCCAGCCCACAAGATATTTTAGATAAGTCAAAGTATACCCTTGAGGATCTGCTCTGGCCAACTCTCCATAAAAATATGTATTACAAACCAGGCATGATGGCACATTCCTGTCATCCCAGCACGTTAGAAGGCTGAGGAAGGAGGTTTGCAAGCTTGAACCCAGTCCAGGCAATTTAGTGAGACCTATCTTTAGAGTTGGGGAGGTAGCTTAGTGTGAAAGTCCTGGGTTCAATCCCCAGCACCACCCAAACAATATCAACTAACCACAATACAACAAGACAAACTATTTTGTAGATGTCCTAAACAAAAACTATCCTGAAGCTTCTAATTTGAATGGTCTATCTCTGAGCTCAGTGCTTTGATCATCCTTTCAAAACTTAAACCCAGGAAAAGTTATTAGGCACTATGGAGAGACTTCAAATCTTTTGAAACAGGGTATGTATTTTTTTCCAAATCTATTTTATTCAAGGATAAAAAGGAGGAGGAGGAGGAAGAGAAGAAGAAAGAAAGAAAGAATGAACAAACTATAACAAAATTTGTGATCCTTCTTTGTCAATCTCCCAGAGTGCTGGCATTACAGGCATGTAGCACCATGTTTGGCTGCTTGTTTGTTTTTAAAGAAATAAGTCACCTGCTAACAATATTTTAAAACTTTTAACTTGAGCCAAAAATCTGCAACAATATAGCAGAAATTCGTTTCATCTCAGATGAAATGATTCAACTTTATTGGCCATTAAAAAAATATACTTGTAACTTTCATTGTTACATATACTATACTTTGACCTATATAGAGTGTTTGCTGGCAAAGTAGAAGAGACAAATTTTATTTTGAAGCTTCCTCCCTGGAAGAATGTACATTTCTTCTAGTTCTGGGAATATTTTTAATTAAAAAATAAGACTAATTCTGTCAGATTTTCCCATTTTCAAATACAAAGCAAAGAGCTGTTGTAGAACAGGAAGGTACTGAATTGTAGTCCTACTTTCCTACTTTCAGTATCAGTTTTCTCATCTGTGAAATAGAAACAGTTAAAATGACTGGGAATGAAGTGGTAAGACTAAAATGAAGATGCTCTGGAAATAAGATTTTTTTAAAGCAAGTCCTAAACAAATCACCTTTGAGACTTTAGAACATTAAAATAGGCAGCCAGGATAATATATACTATCCTCTTTAAATCAGTGCTCAAGTTGGAAACTAGACATTTCATAGTAAAAACAAAGATTTATATAGTCTGAAAAGAAACTTACTTGGAATTGCTCTCTAGATCCAGTTACTTCTGATCACATCGTGCCTCAAAAGAGCCCATGCTCCCACATGCCCTTGAAAAACCTAAGAAGCTGGAAGGACCTGTGTTGGGGAAGGTTCAACAGAAGCAACAGCAGACTAGGTCTAGTTTTCTACCTTTAGGTAGGAGTCTAGACCTGAGCTGTCCATTTTTCTCTCTCTAGTTTAATGCCATGAACAATTCCAAAGTGAAAGATAATCTTGCTGAAAGGGTTCTTCAAAACTATGCTTATAGCAGGCCAGTACAGCATGATTTTGTTGGATCACTTCTAAAATCTATGGCGTATGCAATGATTTGACATATGGAATGGGGGACTATTATTTAGATTACAATCCAGGGGGTTTCCCTTCTCAATGGGCAAATATCAGATAAATATGAAAAAGTACTAGAACAACATACAGTGGCAAAAAGCAGACCTCTGCAGGGAAGAAGTACGATTCTCATGCTCAGTAACCTGGGCTTGCTTACTTAGTGGATTTAATCTTTCCTTTTACACCACTATTTTCTATAACAAAAGAGAAATACTAAATATTGAAAACAAATGTGCCTACTAATTATAAGGTTAAAGTCAAGTAAAAGAAGTCAGCACAACACTTAGCATTTTATGAAATGCTAAGGGAATTCTTACAAGGAAGGGAATTCTTACAAGGCACACAGAGTCTCTTAAAGCTTAAACTCAAGGTAGAAACCATCATGAGTCTCAGTATAAAAATTGAGGCAAAATGTGATTGAAGCTTTAGTAGACACTGCAAAGACAAAGAGCCACCTAACTGCTAAGTAGAAAATTAGAATGAAATTAAAATTCAAAGAAAAAGAAATGATGGGGCAATTCCATTTGTGTTTTCCTACTTCTAATCAGTTTAGCCAATGACTGTTAGGGATTTGGCACCAAGTGATTCTGCCCAAGAAATGACTGAGCAAACCTGTATGAAAAATGAATGAATGAAGTGGTACCTTCTACCACCTACCAGAAAAAAACGCCAAATGTGCCACTCCCGTTTGTAAAGTTTTTCAAGGTACTCACATGATTGAGAAATTTGCTGTCTCGAGTGGCCCAGCCAATCTGCATGACGCCAGAAGTGACCACTGTCACTTCATAGTACCAAACCCCAGAATCCACACAAAAGGTACAACGAACACTTTCAAAAGAGGAGGCGTCACAGCGAGCCTGGCCAAACAAAAGAGTATGACAATCATTATCAGTGCCTGAAAACCATCAGAGTAACTGACTTCTGGCAAAGCTGAACACAGTTTTCCTTATTAAAGGTTCTGGTGTACTACTGTCTTTTCTCTCCAACCTCAGTTACTAAAAGCATAAATCTGAATGAAATATACTATGACTAGTTTATCATCTAGTTTCCAGGGATTCAATACCATTGTTCAAAGAGTTCTTTAGTTCTGAAATTTCTGGTCCTCATAGTACCTCTTGTATATAAGCAGCTTTTACATCAGCACCATGCATTATGCAGGGAGAAAGGGAAGGAGGACCTGACTTAATATGATTGGCTAAGTGGGGATTTAAAAATGGAGAAGTCTCCTTTTGAAACATTAGTTTGTGTACCTTTAATTGAATAAAATGACAGAGATTAACGACAGACATATTTAAACTTTCCAGTAAATATATTGCTTACAACAAGTGTAGTACCATGTGGTATATAGTAGACAATGTCTGGAAACACTTTTTTTGGTCTTTTTGAGACAGGGTCTTACTATGTAGTTCAGGCTGGCCTCAAGCTCACTTTATAGCCTAATCTCAAACTTGCAACAATCCTCCAACAATCCCCCTGCCTCAGCCTTCTGAGTGCTGGAATTATAGGCATGTGCCACCACACTTGGCTCAACACTATTCTACTTCTATTCTAACCACTCTTCAAAGTAGGAAATAAACCACATAGTCTGGCAAGACACTGCTTTTGTCAGAAGTAGGTCTTGAAAATGAGGAAAATGTTTACCCCCTAAAGGTCCATCTATGGAAGTTTTACCTCCAAGCCATGAGGTGAGATCTTCAGGTACTCGCTGACATCATTGCTATTCAGCATGGCCCTAATGCTACTCAAGTCCACTTTCTCGTAGGTCAGCTGCCTACCTTCTTTTAAAACTGCAAAAGAAAAAGCGGTCATGTTTGTAAGGCAAGCTATTGCGGGAAAAAAGAAAAGCTACCGCCATCTCTGGCTGCCATTCTCATCAAGGAATGAGAATGGGCGGGGAGGCTTAGAACCTCAACCTTGCTGTTCTACTACCACATGAAAGCTGACGAACCACATGCCAGAAAGGCAGCAACCTGAGGCTGATGCTTCCAATTCCTGTATTTACTGTTTTGCCCGAAACACAATCCAAATTTCATTTTTTCAGAATTATTCTTTAACTGGCACTATTTAGGTTATACCTGTCATGTTGGGGTGTTGGGGGTCACACATCCAATTGTACGACTATGAAGGGGAAGAGAAGACAGAACAGTAGTACAGTTTTTGTTTTAGTAGCCCTTGAAAGAGGAAAAAGAGAGAAAGCCAGGAACAATCCTCATGGTGTAGGTAAGATGTGGCTTGGGGTTGAGAGCAAAGTTGAAGGAACTGGCCTAGAGGAAGGAGTCATCAGGACTCATCTGTGGGACAGTCAAGAGACAATCTGTGTTGCACAGAGTGGGGCAGACAGTGCCACATCATTAAAGGCCTTGACACAGCAGCAAAAGGGTAACAGTAATGGTTTTTATGGTTTTTGAAAGTAGAATGTTCTGAAAGTAGAATGCTGGAATAGAAGTATACACTGTAATTTTTATCCAGAGTATCTATGGTACTTTTTGCTACAATACATCCCAACTACCAATACAAGACCCTAGAAGGAAAAACTCACACTCATTCTTAGATTAAAAAAAAGTCAGTAAGCCTACCAAAGAAACAGGTTTGGACATAGAAAAAGACATTTTCTTTTCTTTTAAAGGAACACTTTGATTTATTTTAAGTATCACATGAAGGGGTTCTTTTCTTTTCCCTTTTTTTTTTTTTGGTCATCTGTTCACCTTCAATCACATAGTTGTGCAGCAACAATTTTCTTCAATAGAATCATTCACAAAAAATCACAACAAACTAAACTATACACAGGAGAACACAAGGCAAAAACTAAGAATGTTATGCATTGTACACAGTATTAGTGCATCTCAGCAGATAGTAACTGTGGGAAACAAATCTGATTTACAGGAAAAAGAAGAAGTAAATTTTAGAACTCTTGACAATTTATTAGTATTTCAGTTATCAGATTCCTCATCCTTCAAATGAATAATTACCAGCCTTGCAGTTTTTATTTATTCATTCATTTTTTAGTATATATTTGTCATAATATTGACCACATTCATTATAGGGAATTTGTACCTGTACATAGTATATTTTGATTCCTTTTTTTTCCTTTTCCTCTCTCATTCCTTCAACTTTCTCCTCCCCATTTACAAAAGCTTTGTTTCCATTTTTTTCCTTCCATTCTCTTTTATTCTCCTTTTTCCTTCTTTCCCTTCCCCTTCCCTCCTCTTCTGTTCCCCTAGAAAAAGACATTTTAATACAGGAAAACCCCCACTTACAGAGATTGTCTAAACTCCACTGGGCACAGAAACCAACTTGACGTTTCAAATAATCAGGCTCATCAGCCCACGACTCCAATGTGACGAGCCGGTCGCTAATACTGGATTCTGAGATAGTCAATTTATTTTCACCTGTTTGGACGATGAAATCCTTAAATTAACAATGAAAATATCAGATGATTTACTAAACAGGTTAGTAGAGGTAAATAAGGAGTGAAAAGAGGTAGTTAGAGAACTTGGAGACCAGAATGGACTACATTAAAGTTTCTAGGAATGACATGGTTGAAGAGCTTAACTATTCTCTATAACTCTGGTCATTAAGTTCAGATTCTTAGGCAAGAAACTGCTTGCCTTTGTCCCTGTTATTCTTCATTGGCTCTGAAATGTCTACCTAGACAAAACAGAAGATATGCACATTTGGTGGAGTTCAAAGTACAGGCTCACTCAGTAACTAAGAAAAATAAAGATTTTTAACAACAAATACAGAAGACATCCTTAGTGCAAGAAGTCATTATACCTACTTGTCTGTGCAAACTTTTCCAGTGCGATAAGTGCAAAGAGCATGACTGTGGGGTGGGACTGTAACTTCTGAAAGACAACAAAAGATTAAGAAAATATCATTTCCCCTGCAGCAGTAGCACAAGTTAATAATTTCACTTTATTACACAATATGCATTAAATTTTGGGGGGAGTAGTCAAAAAGATTATACTCCATTAAGTCTTTAATTGTCTATTTAGGTAATATTGTTTGTAATGAAAAACCAAGGGAGTCTTTTTTCCATAAAGTAACCAAGTTAATTTACTGATAAATTAACAAATTTAATTTACTGATACTTATTACGGAAATTCAACAGTATTTTCTATTGTTACATTACTTAGTAACATTTACTTTAGGACTCTGTAAAAGTGCTATTGATTCTTACATTCATTTAAACAAACCATACAAACTACAATTGTAGCTAAAAGTACTTTTTATTCAGAACCTTAAAAGGAAATAATCAATACAACAATCCAGAAGTATAATGAAATTAACAACTTCTGCCTTGGATTTTAATAAAGTCCCTGAAAAGAATTCTAAAAATGCTACTGATACAGGCAAGGGAGCAACATTTTTGTTCACATCACACAAGTTCCACTTAAAGCAAGACCTACCATTTAACATCACATCTTCTCCCAGCCATGCTTCCCCGCAGCTATGCTCTAGAACCTAGAGGAACCCCATTCACTTTCCTGCTACCTGCCTAAGGTAAAGCTCATATATAACCACCATCCCCTGCTGCTGCAAAGTCTCTTCAGCATTAACACTGCTTCTCCCATGTCCATTCTCAATCCCTCTGTCTAGCTTTTCCAGCCCCGAACTCTCCACCTGGCTTCTCTATGTCTTACTAGCTCTGAACACATCCTTCCATAATCAGAGTGCACTGTTTCTGGACTTCTGTGGTATTCCCATAGTCAAGAAACCCACTACATCCTCTGCGAGGCACAATGAGATCCTAACCTACAGCGTGCCTCAGCAGAGGTGCCCCTTCATCAGGAAGGCTGTCTCTCATGAATACTCCAGTCCTCACCACCTTTACCACCCTCTCTTTCGCCTCCTCTGAACTCTTAAGGCACTTAGTCTAGAGGAAGAGATTGTGCCTTTGATCATATCCTGTCATAAAATGGACTTTAAATGTCTTGTCTGAGAGTTTTGTTTCTTCAGCTAACCAGTAAACTTCTTGAAGGCAAAGGAAGGACTGTTCTATTATTATTATTAATCGGTATCAGGAATCGAACTCAGGACCTTGCACCAGGCAGATGCTTATGCCACTAAGCTAGATCCCCAGTCCTCTTATTTTCTGTATCTATATGGTGCTCACTTAGAGAAGCATAACTGTAATCACATATCATGGCAGTACTGGTCTTTATGATAGTTTTGAAGAAGACCAATGCTCACTGGCCTGCAAAAATAACTTTTAAAATATATACCAGTCCAGACTGCAGATCGAGCCCTGTGAGAGATCTAAAAGCACAGCCTCAACAAAGTGCAAGTTTCACAGATGACACATCAAATACTCCAAGGCCAACAGTTGTAAGAGCAGTAGCACTGAGGGGGAGGGCAGGCAGGAGCAGAGATTTATGCACACTGAGAACCTGACCCAATGCTGGAATGCCATTTAATTTTGTTTTCACCACGCAGTTCCCTATTACCACACTCGAAGGACACACAAACAAGTCAATCACAGCAGCTATCCTATGACTAACATTAAAACTAGACCAACTCAGCTGTTTTTGCTTGTAATAAATTCCTAGCCTAGCTTTTTTTTTTTTTTTAAACAGGGGGGAATAAACACTCAGGAAACACCTGCAAGTAAAATTTACAACTGATTCCATTCTCTGTGCCAGGGGCTATGCTGGAAATTTGAGAAAAACTCACAGCTCTGAATGACTAAGAATAACTAGCTTGGATGTATCACTTACCAGACACTGCAGCAAATATTCCAGTATTCCTGGGCTAAGTAAACCTATACTTGCAGGACCTAGACAAATGCAACAAACACTAAATATAATTAAAAGTGCCATATTATTTTTAACAGACAATAGTGACAATCAAACTGTTTTGGTAGAACTCTGTACCACTTACAAAGCACCTCAAGTAAATTATTTTACTCAAGCCTCCTGCTCTGAGGGTGGGAACAGAACCATCCCCATCTCATGGCTGACCGGCTAGGCTCACGCAGAGAACTGACTAACTCCAGGGCCCTTGGGGAGCACATGGCAGCACCTGAACCCACGTATTCTGACTTCCAATCTATTGTTTCTCCCACTATGTATGAAGTAACCAATTGAACACTTCACATACACTTTGCTGTGAACATTCTTCAAATTGCTAAGTCATAAATAAGTCAAATATTTGTGTTTCAACCTAAAGTTTCTTTTCCATTCCCTCATCTTATGTCTTCAATATTTAGCTAAATTTTATAAAGTATATACTTTTTATTACTATATATATACATATATACATACTGGTTTTATACTAAATTCAGCTTGTCCCTTTTTCTTAGTTTTAAAGCAAATGATTTTTATGGATTTCTGAAAATCCATAAAGCTAAGTGAGATTGTATTTAATTGTCTTCTGAGTAAATTTCTTCCAGTTAGCCCCTATCCTTCCTTCTTTCTGCTACAGCATGTTTGAGCAAACTAGCCCTAAACATCAAACAACCTGGATCTTCCTCTGTGGCACTTCTTCAAATTACCTGCTAGTTTCTCAGCCAAGCAGCCTAAGACTGCAGATGTGTTCCTGTGTTTGGCAGGATGACCTGAGTCCTGGCAAGCTACTTCTCCATTTAAATTGAGAATTTCAGTTAGTTTCTGGAGTGCATCCTAAAAAATAAAAATACAAGTGGATTTGGTACATATACTCCTTGGGTTGTTTTTCCAAGAGAATTCTTTAAAACAAAGTTATATGCAAGTGTCACATGTACTCAGAATAATCATGCAAAAATTATATAATGTGATACAATTATTGTGGGAAATATTATTTACTAATTTATTTATTTTGTCTTTGAGACAGGGTCTCACTATGTAGTTCAGGCTGGCCTTGAACTCACTTTGTAGTCCAAGTTGGTCTCGAACTTACAATGATCCTACTGCCTCAGCCTCCCAAGCACTGGGATTATAGGTGTGCATCACTGGGAAATATTTTTAATCAACCAGAAAGTTTTCTCACATGAACTATTAGATCACATTTTCACTCAATTGTACAGGTTACACCAATTACATGATATATATATTTATATACATTTTTTTTTTAGTGGTACTAATGATTGTACCCTGGGCCTCCCACATGTTAAGCAAGTACTACACCACCAAGCTAATCCTTCTTTTTTGTTGTTGAGATAGGATCTAGCTAAATTGGCAAAGTTGGCCACAAACTTGCAATCCCCATGTTCCCCCAAATAGCTAGTGTACATCATACACGATGCCTGTATACTTTTGAATCATTAAACAGTCAATATAGTTGATAACATTAGCATCTAGTGATAAAGAAGTAAAAAGTTATTTTTCTTAAAATTACTTTTTAAAAAATAAATTTTACCAAGCAGGAACATTTTCACCGAAATTTTCTAGGCAAATTAAAAGGAAAAGCCTAAGGAAAGACTAATTCATGCATGACTAAGCTAAAGACTTTTCCTTCAGTCTACCATGTTTCTATAAGGCTCCAAAATAAAAGAGGTCAGAATCCAAATTTTAAAAAATATATGAACTAAGGTATGAAAGTTTGATATTTTTGTTCTAAGTAAGAGAAAATCACAAACACACTAAACCCTAGAAGACTCAAAAGTGCTTTTAATACAACACTTTTTTCTCTTAACAGAAAGCTTTTGCTGTAAGAAAACTGCATAGAGAAAGATAAAAAAATCAGTTCAGCATTTGATTAAACTATTCTAGTTTTCAGATAAAGACTCATTTGGAATGAATGCTTCTATTTTTAACATTTAAAAAATATTGAACTAAAATCTTATATAGTATGCTATAGAGGATGTAGTAACTCATAAGAAAAAAAATTTTACATAATGAAATCAATACTGAATACAATATCTCAAATGTATAAGGAAATGCATTGTATCAAATGTTCTTTCTGTTCATCCTGTGCAGAAGCACAGGTGACAGTTTCATAGAAGATTAGTATTAACTTACTTTAGTGGGCAATGGACATTCATCTAGTAACAATGTTATAACAGCTGGTCCCAATGGATCTTCCAATGGAATAACTCTAATTAAAGACTGGACAACGTCCAACCATCCTTCATCTAAGAGCAAATCAAGAAGGTTATATAATGGAGTCACTATTTTGAAAATGTGAAAATACATTAAATTCATAGAGTCACACAAGATGATGATACATGAACATAGACACATTTTTGCTCCTCATCCTATAGCACTTAAGAAGCTAGTATTTGGCACAGCATTGCTAGCTGTCATGGTGGAGGAAAAAAATCCTGTTATAAAAGTCTTGTGATTTGGGAGCATCTTTATCTGGAGAAAATTTAAGCTATGGTTTTGTGTCCTCAAATTAGGATTAAAACAGTTTTAAATATTTTATTTACTATGTATGAATTGAGAAAACTAAGTATACTCAGGAATTGGCTCTATTTTCAGATAGGAATTTGAGAGATAAATGATCCCCTCCATAACAGTTACAGTCAAAGATCTGTCAGTATTAAAAACAAACAAACAAACAAACTCCCCCTATAACTTTAAATGATACAAAACCATCACTAAGACATGTAGCTAAATATTTGGGGTACAATATAGAGTGTCTATTACACATTTTTAAGGTAATTTCCACAAATAAATGGCCTTTTCCTTTGTTATGTATTCTAAATATTTTTGGAATCATTTTATCTTTAAAAAAGGTCACATTTTATTATTATTAATTCATTAGGAATTATTAAAAACAAACTTTAAAAATACCTGTTTCTGCCATTTCGTGTAATGTAATCATTGAATAGGGAGGTTCCTGATCACTGAAAAACAAACATTCCAGACATTAAACTTGAAGAAATAATGACAATTCCAAATAAAATTCCAACTGCAAATGTAGGGATAGAAAGAGAATGAAGATTTAGCTCAGCGGCATAAGCGCCTGCCTTGCAAGCAGGCAGTCGCAAGTTCGATCCCAGGTACCGATAAAAAAAAGAAAAAGACAAAAAAATTAAAAAATAAAAAAAGAAAGAAAATGAAGAAATGAACATGACTGAATGTAGGGGAAGAGATGGAAGCATCAATCAGAGCTACAACTTGTAAAGACAAATTTATACCATATGTGCTTATTTCTGGAGTTACTGCCCATAATGGTTTACAAACAAAATAGGCAAATGGGCACTCACAAGGGTCATTTATGTGGCCTGAGGTAAAAGTACAGGACTAAAACTTAAAATAAGAGTCTATTCTGAGTCTTATATCCAGGGCCCAACACTGAGATGAGTCAGGAAGGTCAACCTCATTTTTCTCATACATACCTCAAAGAAACGACAGGGTGGAAGATGGCAAGCCCAACTAACGATTATACAAGTTAGGGCCTACACCAACATCTTCATTTTCAGGTTTTCTTCTCGGAAATATCACTATATACTTAAACTTCATAAAATGGCATTAGAAGAAAAAGAAACCAAAAATCATACATAAAACACTCTATATTCAGGGGCAGGGGATTTAGCTCAGCGGCATAAGCGCCTGCCTTGCAAACACGAAGTCGTGAATTAGATCCCTGGTACCGATAAAAAAAAACAAAACAAAACACTCTATTCAGTATTCTAGACACTGCTCTAAAACCGTATTATTATTATTTTTTTTTTCTTTTTGGTACCAGGGATCAAACTTACAACCTTGTGCTTGCCAGGCAGGTGCTTACACCACTAAGCTAAATCTCTGGCCCATTAAAATTGCATTATATACCTTAATTCCATGGGTCCTCAAGCTGGGGTCTCAGAAATCCTCAGGAAGTGCTTCAGGGAACTTCAGTACTGAAATATTGTCTACAAACAATGATAATTCTAATTGCTTAAGCACTTACCATTTATTTGCTTACTATTTTGAATCTGTTTTCTGCTGTGGAAAAAAAACCCATAAAGACTACTATCTTAAATCATTTAATCCTCAAAATAAGTTGATTATATGGGCATTAATATGTTCATTTGAAGGACTTATTACATGCTGATCACCAGATATATTCTTTGTTCTTTTATAATAAGGGGAAATTATTATCTATAAAGAATTAAAACAACATAAGTGACTGAGGAGAACACTTCTGGAGAACAATCTAGCAATAATGAAATTAAATATGCACACAGTCAATTCTAGATACTTTTACATAGGTCCATAAACATGTATATTTTTTGCATATTTTGCATGGTTATTTGCAGGAACGACGTGTGGCAGGAACTTAAGTGACTCTCACCAGATGAAAACAACAAAATATAGTACTTTCAGAAAGATATACAAAGGAATATGCTATAGCAGTCAGAAGTAGTTGTAGATTTACACACAACCATATAGGTCTTGAATGTAATGTTAAGAAAAGTTAAAGAGCTTTATAAAACTAAATCAGCTATGTAAATATAAAAATAATACATAAAACACTATTCTTCTGATACAGACAAAAAGAAACAAATGATAAGAGAACTGGAAGAACTTATCTTTCATTTTTCTGTTTTTGACACAGGCTGCTGCTATGTGTCCCAGGCTGGTCTTGATCTCCCCAACTCAAGTGATCCTTGTCACTCAACTTCCCAAGTATCTGGGACTATAGACAAGGACAGATCTTAACTTCACTAGAATGGTTACATTTGGAGGTGGGTAGTTGAAAGGAAAATGAGATTAGAGAATAAATGAAAAATAGTAAAATACAACAGACTGGGCAACTAGGAAGGTACAGGGGTACACATGCACACCCCTCTGCATTCAAAGAACAAAGATCCCTCAGAGATCAGAAGCAGAGGAGGAATTTCTGATGTGAGGCAGAAACAGCCAGGGGGCCACTGGTCTGTGGTCAGGCATTGGACAGCAGTAATCAGGAAATGGACCATATTCTTTCAGGGCAGGGACCCAAAACCTCACCTACAGGATGGCTGAGATGCACAAATGAAGCTAGGGTGGGGTCCCTTCTCAATGAAAGTAGCAGAAAAATGAGTGCTAAATCAAGCTATTGTTAGTATAAACGGGTTTCCAGTGACAGAAGGCAAAGAAAGCTATGCAGCAGGACCAGGGCTTCTTATAGTGTGTCAGCTCTCTGATTTTAGATTCATGGTACTGGGGAGAAACAGCAGCCGGCGGGGGGTGGCACATGTAACCCACATACACAAACACAGCAAGGAAGAAACTTCTATCACAAGCAATCTATAGGGCTGGGGGTATAGGCCAGCGCACAAATATTGTCCTGGCTTACACAGGGTTCAAACTGCAAAAACAGCAACAAAAAAAGAATATGTGTATAAAATTCCAAAGCACATAAGAATGAAATTAAAACATTAAAACCAAGACACTACCAAAAACATGGAAACTGAACTTCAAAACAATTTTTTTTCACTTGAGAGGGTAAGGCAGAAGGATCAGTGTTGGCATTACATGTTTGTGCCACCACGCCTAGCCTTCAAAACAATTTTTTTGAGAAAATGTTTTGCTATGCAGTCTGGGATGGCCTTGACCTCTAGGCAATCCTCCTGCCTTGGGCTCCAGAGTGCTGGGATTACAGGCATGCAACACCATGTCCAGTAAGATGATTTTAAAATAATCGTATGTATAGGAACAACTATAAGAGGCATATTAAATGAGAAACAAAAACAAAACAAAACAGGTTATATAAAATAAAAAAAGAATGAAATGCTAGAAGTGAAATAGTTACTAAAGTATCTCAAGGAATGGTATAACTCTAAATATGTGAAATTCAGTGAATGAGAAGGGTTTTGAGGGACTAACTCATTAACACCAGAAGCAACATTGAAAGACAAAATGACTGAAAAACTTCCAGAGTGAGAACATGATTTCAGACTGAAAGTAGATAGGATTAAGGTTAGACAATAACAGGAAAATAAGAACAAAAAAGCCCCCTTTGTTTAAGATGACAGGAAATGAAAGGCAGGTATAGAAATGGTACAAATTGGTAATTTATTTCAAAACAAAGTCATGGAAAACTAGAAACCAACACCATCCAACTCTCTATGGCAGTGGTAGTGAACCTACGGCACCAGAGCCCTGTCTGTCAGCACACAACCAAGTCACCCCAGAAGCTGAATATCAGATAACAGTTGTTTTTCCTAAACTAAAAACTCAGGATTCAGGTTTAACTGCAGTGTGGCACTTGGCAATAAATAGTAGGTTTTAAGTTGCAGTTTGGCACTCAGTCTCTAAGTTTCACTATCCCTGTGTGGATGCTCCTCTCCTACTCATCTGTGTCATTCTTTCCTTAGTATAGACAACAGAAAGAAGAGGATCATAGAGATTGTTTCATAATTTTGATAGCTGTATACATTTTTTTTTTTTTTTTGAGACAGAGTCGCTATGCAGTTCAGGCTAGCCTTGAGCTCATTATGTAGCCCAGGCTGGGTTCAAACTTACAATGACCCTCCTGCTTCAGCTTCCCGAGTGCTGGGATTACAGGCATGTGCCACCACGCCCAGCACATCCATTTAGATATACTAAGCCCACACGTTCTTTCATGTTTCATTTTAACAGCCCTATAAACTATAGGTTATAACATTCTCCTTTAGGGGCTGGGGATTTAGCTCAGCGGCATAAGCACCTTCCTTGCAAGTGTCTGGTCATGAGTTGGATCCCTGGTACCGATAAAAATGAAAAAGACAAAAAAAAAAAAAAAACCCCAAAAATTCTCCTTTAATATCTCCTAAAAAAACCACAAAAACCAAGCATACATCCCCAGCACTTGTGTGGTACTGGGAATTGAATTCAGGGTCTCATGCACAGGAAACATGGTCCTATACTGAGCTACATCCCTAGCCATTTTATTATTTAATCAGGACAAGGTCTTGCCATATTGTTTAGGCTGACCTTGAATTTGAGATTACCTTGCCATGGCTTCATGAATAGCTGGGATTACAGGCATGTCCCACTATGCCTGGCTATATATGTGTTTCTTCTCTTCAGCATGTCCCTTTCCCATGTGCTCCACATATGCCTTATTTTTATCCCTAGTCAAAAGTTGAACCAATGTCAGTAAAAACAGGCACATGTAAGAGCTACTTTGTTACTCAAAGGCAAATCAAATGCTTCATATAACTGAATTATGTGCTTTATCAACAAGGTCAGTTGTAATTATAAAATTTTCTTGGAGCTTGGAAGTAAGGTCTCTACTTTGTTGCTATACTCCCTTAATCACTCTTAAAATAGGGCAAAGTATGTTCTGCCCCAGTTTTTTCAATTAAATTAATATTTATTGCGTCTTACTTTCTTTTTGAGGAAGGATAGCTTTTCATTACAATTATGAGGGTTAACTTTTAAGAGAAATTCTTCTTGTCTTTTGAGGGGGGTACTGGGGATTGAACCTGTGACTTCGTGCTTGGCAGGCAGGCACTTGTGCCGTTGAGCTAAAATTATTTTTCTTGAAAACCAACAAACATCCCGTTATCAGGGGGAAGAGTCTCATATAATCCTAAAGTTTTGTTTTTATATTCAGATATAAGTTATTTTGTGTTACAATCTTTGAGAACTAATCAAAACTTTTATCATTATGATTAAAAGATATTTATAGATTTACTAGGAGGGCCTGAAGCAAAAAGAACCAAGAAATTACTTTTTTAAAATTATTACTATAGCAGTTGGGATGTAGCTCAATGATAGAATACTTACCAACCATGCTGGAGGCACTGGGTTCAATATTCAACACCACAAAAAAAGGAGGGGGGTTTAATACCATCTGTTGAGTGACTGTTTTATACAAAATAGCACACTAGATTTTTATATATATTATCTCATGATAATTGTTGTAAAGTGTTATTCTCATTACAGATGAGGAACCTGAAGCTCAGAGAAATAACATCACACTTCTAGTAAGTGGCTAGGCCAGAATTTGCACCTGCATCCATCATGATTCTAATATTTGTGCCCTTAACTACTAAAATGACACGATCTGACTTAACATTTTTTTTTTATAACTTGAATAATGCCCTTTAATTTCACTGTTATACAATCTGGGATCTTTCACTTAGGAGTTAGACTAAGCAGGGGAAAAGATAAACAAGTACAGGTGTGCCCTGCAGTTTCAACTTACTAGTTTTCCACATGGATCTTAAGAGCGTCAAATAAGAAATATTAACAAAGGAGGATGAGGAAACTCTTTGACCTTCGTCCTTAGGTTGCCAACAGAACTTTTAAGCAGCCATGCTCTTGGATAAAACAACTCATCTTGAAAATTCTGATCAATGGAGCAGAAAGGCAAGCACAGTAACAGAATCTTCTTTAAACCATTTCCTATTATAGCTAGCAACAAAAACTCACTCATTATCTACATTTCCTAATAAAGATCATAGCTTTAATTAGTGTTTTCTGCTATGGAAATGTTTAGACATTTCCAGACAGGAGAAGGTGATAAGTTAAAACATCAAAATTTATAATTTAATCTGCCACCAGAAGAGAAATAAGTCTCCCTCATCCCATGGACACAAGGCTTGGTGAGTATACATTAGAGAAGCTGAAGGAATCCAAAAGTCATAGTTCTTGACAGAATACTTTCCATTACACTGGAGATGACAGTGAGTCAGATACTTACTTATCTACAAGAGTCCGTATTACTGCCAGTGTGTCCAGCACTAGCCCATCTACATTTTGTTTTTTTCTCCTTGGCTCATGTGGTCCTCGGCCCCTCCTTGGTGGCCGAACAGGGTCCCGGGGTTGGCTCCTCATATCAGCAGTGGGGACTGCACTGTTGTCAGACTGTTGCTGATGGGTGTCAACACTGTCTTCTGCTCCACTGTCATCTCGGCAGATACAGGAGTTACCCATGGTAGCAGCAGCACCTCTAGTCCCCACTAGGTTGGCTATGTGTTCCTGAAGAGTCAACAGCAGACCCTGGCCAAGGCTTCTGCTTGCTAAGAACACGGCCCAACCAAAGACAATCATTTAGATAGTTTTCAGTTTTCCAAGTACTGTTTTCATAATCTGGAGTTGAGGAACTTGCATCCTATTTGTTTTTAATGACTCAATGCCAAAGAAATTTGCAGAGCTGATCTCCAACATTATCAGCTATGGGGAAGTCTGGTCATCCACAGGCAGTTCTCAAAGAAAGAAAGGAAAAGAAAAGGAAAATGAATAGAAGAGTCTCGACCACTTAATTACTTACACTGCACTAGTTTGGCTTTTTAGATGTTTAGATTACAATGCAGAATCATCTCTGGTGATTTATTTATTTATTTATGGTACCGGGATTTGAACTTAAGAACCCACACTTGCCAGGTATCTTTGGTATTTCTATAGGTTTCCAACACATGTACACAAAGTATCTTTGAATAATAAAATTAACAATCAACCATTAATTCCATCACTATATTAGAAAGTAGATCGCAAAACCATTTTTGTAAACTCTAGGAGGTACAATCACTGCTCAAAAACCATACATGTAACTCTTCCTATCTACATACAACAGAATGATGTACAAATTATGCAAGGGCTCCTTTTGTCATAAAAATAATTTTTTTCCTTTACAGATATGGGATAATGTTTCAAATAAAGTATCTAATTACACACATCCATTGTTAAAAAGTTACGATATAATTGTGATAGCACCTATTTGACAATAAAACAATATGAGTATTCCTCTTAAATTACTAAAACTGCATTGATGTCTCATGCAGAAGCTCATTCAAAAGTTTACAGAAATCATATAAATATTTGCAGAGTTTTTCTGTTTTAGGTAAGCAAGGCTGTTTTGGAAAATATGAATTTACATAACAGAGTTACATTCTCACAATCATCAGCTTCTTGCACAACACATCTGCTACAGTTAATAACCAGATGTATCAATTATCTTTATTAGAAAATACTAAGCACTTTGTACCAGGCACTATGGTATAACTAAGAGAGTAAGGACAAGGTATGGTCCTTGCCCTCTAGGAATTTATGGATGCTATTCCACACAGTATAGTTATCATTAAAAACAAACAAACAAAAAACCAAGTGATTATCCAGGAGTGGTGATGCATACCTCTAATCACAGCTGAGGAGGCTGAGGCAAGAGGAATGCAAATTTGAGGTCAGCATTGACAACTTAGTAAGATCCTGTCTCAAAATAAAAAAATTTTAAAAAGCCAAGAGTATAGCTCAGTCATGGAGGGCTTCTGGTATCAGGGCCCAGAACTGCAGTAGTAAATGAATAATGAAAAATTAAACAGGGTGAGCATGGGTATAGAGTATGGCACTATAGTGCTTGCAAAGCATGCTGAGTTCAACTCCTGTACCACAAAAAGCAAATCACATCCAAGCAAATAACCAGCCAAACAAACAAAAACCCTAAATTTAGTACCAGCTTTTCATTGACCAGAGAATGTCTGGTTAAGTTCTACAAAGATAACAATTTGAAAGCAGGAGACTGACATGAAACTGGTAGCAAAAATTAGTAAGTCTTGGGACTGGGGATTTAGCTCAGCGGCATAAGCGCCTGCCTTGCAAGCAGGCAGTCGTGAGTTCGATCCCTGGTACCAATAAAAAATGAAAAAGACAAAAAAAAAATTAGTAAGTCATGCTGGTATTTGGAGACTATGACACACCAGGAAAAGACAACGCTGATGTGGAGTCTCTAACCAACATTTGGCTGTATACAATTAATTCCTCATATCTACTCATTCAGGATTAGATACAAAACTGGTATTTCAGAGGGACTAGAAGACAAAAATTACTTCCATTATACGGGGCAGAATCACAGCAACTTCTCAGTATTTTTCCAATCTACCATTCACACAGAAGAAAAAAAAGAAACAATGGATAGAAAAGTATTTACATATATATAAGTATAAATATATGAGGGAAGAGGGCAAGGAAGGAAAAGAATGAGAGGTTGAGACAAGAGAGGAAGGACAGGGGAAGAGAGCAGACAGACATTATCTGCCCCAAAACTACATGCAAGGAAACAATGACTGAGCCAAGTTAATACTGGAGATGTTCTTGGTCCCCTTGAAAATTTGAAGGTTATGATTAAAAAGATGTGACTGAAGCATATAGGTAGGAGCATGAAGCAAAGACCCAGCTGGGAATAGCATTTTAACAAACGACACATTTTAGACCAGCAAAGAATTGAAGTAAATGACATTTCCATTACTGAAGGGACCAGGGTTCAGTTCCTTCCAGAGTGTAGATATCCAGGAGATTTCAATGCTTAAAAGGATAGAGGAGACAGGTGCCAGAAATAATTCTTTTAAAGGGCCCTTGGATATGTTTCTCCTGATCCAATAAATTATGCTGGTTTCTGGAAAAGACCAAAAAGCAACATTTAAGAAGTCATGCTCTGGCCTTTCTCAGACATTGCAGATAAGGCGAGTTTTCTGACAGGTCCAGTCCAGCTGTTTATGCCAGGGGAACACCTCTTTGCAATTCTAAGTATTATTTGATATTCTAAAAATTAATCTAATGCACAAGGTCCTGGGCTTGATCCCCAGCACTGCAAAAATAAAACAACAACAAAAACAAAAATTCAGGTCAGTCTTAAAAAGCTAAATGCTTCCTAAGTCTACAGCAAGCGAAAGCTCCTCTTTTGCTCTAAGCCTATTCCTTTCTCAAACTTAACTCTTAAAGCTTCATACATCTGTTTCCACACCAAGTATTATGCATTCTTACAAATTAGACTTTTCCTTAAATCTGATCAGGAAAAGACCAAAAATACTGTTCTGTGACTTGTATGTTTAATTTTTTAGTTTTTTGAGTCAGTCTTACCATGTAGTTCAGGCTGGCCTTGAATCCACTTGCCTCAGCCTCCTGTAGCACTGGCATTACAGGCATGCACTACCATGCAACTAAAGTTTCACTAATTTAATAGCACAGTTCTAAAACTATTTCATTGTTTATAGGCTGTATATAAATCTATATTGTTTATCATAGTATCTTACCCACTATGTTATAAAAACTAACACTTTGGAGATGATGGGAATGGTTCAAAACCTGATACAAGGGAATTCTTTGAAAGATGGGTCTACAACTGCAATGCCTCCCCAAAGTAATGAGGGCCCAAGACTGTGGGCCCAGCCAGAGCAGAAGGGATTCTACTGGCTTCTCTGATGCTCCAGAGCATTTCCCCACCATCAATATGGAAGGTGGGATAGAACACTAGATGCACACCTGAGAGACACATATCAGGTACTAAAAATGACTGGCAGTGATTTGAGAATATCAAGATAAGCTTAAATCCTAGAAAACAAACCCTTGAAGAGAACAGGGGCCTACAAAGTTATAGTTTCATGCCAACAGTTACAAAGCTATTTAAAATAATTAACAAGAAATAATGTTGAGATTATCCATAAAGATGGCAATTTATTGGATTGCAATTCATAAAACTTTCTACTCAAATTTTTTCCCTAAGATTTATAGACTATAGAATAATTTATGCAGATTTACATTCAGTACAATTTCAAGGCAACTAGAAGATATCCAATACATGCAGATATTTTTTAAAAATCTTACTAAGTTTGGAGGCAAGAAACAAAAATTAAGTTTTTTTTTTTCTATTTACAGATTGAATTTAAGTGTATTTTAGGGTCAATTCCTTCGAAAAAATCAGTTTCCTTAAGTGATCCAGAAAATGATACTAGCTATGTCACAGAAGGAAATGGTATTTTAGAAATTATTTTGTTTTTGAGATATTCTGTTGCCCAGGCTGGGCTTGGACTCTGGTCCTCAAGCAATTCTCTTGTGTCAGTCTTCCAAACAGTTGGGATTATAAGTATATGCCACTGGGCCTGAAAAAAAAGAAAGTGTTTTTTTCTGGTGCTAGAAACTGAACCCAGGCCTGTGCCTGAGCTACACTCGCAGCCCTTTTTATATTTTATTTTGAGACAAGATCTCGCTAAGTCACTAAATTGCCCAGGCTGGGCTCAAACTTGTGATCCTCCTGCCTGGGCCTCCCAAAATATTTGGATTACAGGTGTGTACAACCATACCTGGCCAAAATAGATTTATTTTTCCTTGAGCTAATGTCTTGCTCTGCAGTTCAGGTTTTTTGGGGGGGCACTGGGAATTGAACTTAGGACCTTGCACTTGCCAGGCAGGCGCTTACACAGCTGAGCTGTATCCCCACCATCCCTGTTCAGGCTATTCTTGAGCTCACTATGCACTTGAGGCCTAGGCTGGCCTCAAACTCACAGCAATTTTTCTGGCTCAGCTTCCGGAGTGCTAGGCATGTGCCACCATTCCCAGTAAAAATGTCTTTTTTTTTTTTTTTAAAGTAGTTTTCATATACTTGAAAATCAAACCCTAACCCTATATGTGTATGTGTGTATGTATATATATATATATATATATATATATATATTTTTTTTTTTTTTTTAAGGACTAGGTTTAGTCAGGCAGTGGCATATATTTGAAATCCCAGCTACTTGGGAGGTTAAGGCAGGAGGCTCATAAGTTTCAGGCTAATTTAGTATACTCAGTCTCAAAAACAATAAAAAGAGATGGGGAAGTAGCTCAGTGGTAAAGCACTTGTCTAGCAAATACAAGGATATGAGTTGAATCCCTAGAACTACAAAAACAAATGAAAACCAAAAACAAAGGAATTCTGCTACATAGAACTGGTTAAGTGGAAGAAGTCGTGAAGCATATTACAGAGGAAATACTATGAAACATACAATAAGTAAACAACAGTTACCATCTTTCAAGAATTTCTAAAATGAATAGAGTACTTTAGAGAATATGTACAACCATAGGCAGGTCACAAAAATAAGTATATATCTCAGACTTATGCGACACTAA